ATGCCCAGATGCAATAACGCAATGCCAATCCCAGACAGGGCTATGGAATGGGACTGAGTGATTTTTCATGCACATAACGGTCTAGATCCGTTTTGTTTTTTCTCCCCTTCTTTCCTTCTGACTCCATCATCCACGGACTCGCCATCGCTATTACGAATGTCGATATGAGCACCCCGAATGACTTTCGAGTCGGGGAATCTTCTGGCACCGATGTCGTAAACACGCCGCAGGCGCACGATCTTCAACCAAAGCGGACTGTTGTCGATTGGCTGCGTGACGATGTCAACATTCGTTACACCGATATCCCCGTTCTCGCCTGCTGTCTCGTGTCTGGGCTGTGCGACAGCGTAGCGGTCAATGCCGCCGGGGTCTTCGTTAGCATGCAAACAGGTCAGTTCACGATTCAACGCGAGGGTACTCGGACGTGATACTAATTCTGCACAAGGCAACACCATATTCATGGCCCTTGGCGCCTCCCGCCTTCCGGCCGGCGAGCCACTCCTTTGGCTCAAGTCTCTCAGCTCCATTGCCGCGTTTTGGCTTGGATGCTTCTTCTTTTCCAAGTCGAGGCACATCCATCCCAAGCGTAGAAGCACCCTCGTGCTCTCGTTCCTCCTGCAGGCATCTCTCATCTTCCTCGCTGCCGCCTTTTCCCAGACTCGTCTCATCGCCGGCTTCGGAGCTACATCCGTACAAGGTTCCGACTCAATCCAAGAGTTCAAGACCTCCGAGGACCCCCTTGTTATGGTACCACTTGCTCTCCTCGCTTTCCAATTTGGTGGACAAATCGTCACCAGCAGAATATTGGGCTATAATGAGGTTCCTACCAACGTGCTCACCAGTGTCTACTGCGATCTGCTCTCAGACCCTAAGCTGTTCGCGCCCTTGAAGGAAAATCCAAAGAGGAACAGGAGGGTTTTGGCGGTGATTCTACTTATTCTAGGTGGCATCATTGGTGGTTGGTTGCAACGGAGTCAGGCTGGCATGCCCGGGGCACTCTGGATTTCTGGCAGCGTCAAGTTCATTATTGCAGTTGCGTGGATGGCGTGGGCCGGTAACGAGCCAGCGGAAAGCAAGCTCGAGAAGGGTGTCGCAAAGTTATAACGAAACACGGGGCCTACACATAGCGTTGCTATCCAACCTAGATCGATAATATGTCGCGAGCTAGCTAATGTGAGACAACTGGCCCTTGGTTAAAGACTTTGACGATGGAGGTTAGAGTTACGTTCACATTATCCGCCTAACTAAGATGAAAGTCTCAACTGATTTATGCTCACTGATGGAGTAAAAGCAACTGAAGGAATGATCAGCAAGCTGCAACCGACATAACCCCAAGTTTCCAAAGAAGGTCGGGTTTATTCCCACGGCCTTGGTAGATTTGAGAAGATTTGACCTTTATCAGAACTAATGAATGCGACCCAGATTCCCCAAAGCTTATGTCTCGTCACCAGATGACGCGTAGTCCTTTTATTTTGCGTACCTGCAAAACTGCAGTCAAGTTACTGTATGCTGTCCTGTCATTTCGGGTGTGAAAGAGTGCACTATCAAAGCTTCCACATATGCCCTCGTAGCATACCGGCCGCCTACAGTTCAAGAAACGACAAGTAATGACATTGACGTCTGTTGTGACCGGATCATTATTAGTGGTCAAGACAACCTATTCCTGACGAGTGGGATGGATTGTTATTGTTACGTGGAAACTTGCTTGAAGAGCGATCAGCACGGCCAGCATTATGATAGTCAGCTTGTAAAATTCTGTCCCGAAACTGCAACATCGCCTACGAAGTTGTCAAGATCCTTGCTTAGGTCCACCAATGAACTTAGAATGCTTCTCTGGAGGCCGAGAATAGAGCCTTTGGGCATGATATTCAGGGCAGAAATGAAGCCCCAAACAGGGAGAACATACACACAGGCCTTGACTTAGTGCCGTATGTCCCTGTTAACTAGCCAGGTCAGCAGCTCTATCTATGTGTTGTATCCTGCACGGTCATAGTAAACCCCCACCCCGAGTGTGACGTGACCCAGGTGCAAGGAGCACGGTAAAGAGTCTATGGATAAGTGCAACTACATTGTTGTTCCCATATGCGTCTGTGCAACAAGCAATGTAATCTCTGGTGTCTCAGAGGGGAAAGGGGTGGGAATGCAAGCATCTCCCGAGTTAACCGAACACCGTACTTTAACAACCAATGGCCACGACCAACCCACGGCGTTAAACAGGTAAGCCACAACGTCAACGGTTCTCCCTAGCTTCCCCCAATCGTCACGCCCACCGTTGGAACCCAGCCCGATCCGGACAGTCAAGCCAAAACTACTGCCAGCTCATCCTATGCACTGAATACACGACCACCAGAACGCCATCAAGACACGGGTGCGTCCCTACGCCAGTTTGTGTCACCAAGGAGTGCCCCCCTTGCCTGCCTCATCCCACTTCTTTCAGAAATGTACGATGTCATAACATATCTTATTCCCCTGTCACTTGACCATGGTCTCGGAGGGCGAAGGGCAAGACAGTTACCGAACCAAGACCCTGCAGGGCCCCGAACCAGCTCAAGGGGAAATAATTGGTTTACAGTGTAAGAATCTAGGGGTCCTTCCCCAAGAGGCTAGCCATGCCGTCATTCACGGCCTCCAATTGGCTAGCTCACTACGACCCTCGGTCCCTGTGCAACATCCTTCGCTGAATGAGCCTTGACGTCACCAACCATGTTGGCCTTTGCTCGCCGATCACCGACAAAACAGGTTTGGAGTAGTACAGCACCAATCCTGATCAACCTAAGCATCGTCGACATCGGGGGGTTGAACTATTTCGTCAAGAGGTCGGGGTGCGGGTGCGACAGCGTAGAGGCCATGGGATGACCACCTTGGCATCATTGTGCAGCAACGCCCATGCCAGCCTGCCAACACACAGCGGCTGGCTGGGTCTCGACACGGGCGCCTGCTGTATGCAACGTACCTTGAGGTGGGCTGAACAGGTCGCAACGGCGGCTTGGGGCATAATTTCATGAGTGGGAATGAGAATGACACCCAAGAGAGGAGAGGAAAGGGCCGTGTGGATGGGTGAGATAGATATAACCCCTACCCATCCCCGCCGAGAGTCTCCCCTTCCGACTTATCCAGCATCACAAGGCTTCACCTCGTAAGAGTCCACGCAATCACCATCCACAACTACCACTACCAAGCCTTACCAAGGCAGCCCTAGTCCAATCTAGCATCTTCTCCGCTCTTCTACCTATTCCCTCAAAAAAACCACCCCACAGAACAAAATGCCTTTCTTCGGAGGCGGCCGCCGCGAACCTTCGCCTGAACCCGTCCGCGAACCGACCCCACCACCCCCAGAACCCCGCCGTCACGGCCTCTTCGGCTCCCGCCGCGACCCCTCCCCGGAGCCCATCCACCACCAGCCCGTCGCCGAGCCCGCCTCTCGCAAGCACAGCATCTTCAGCTCCCGCCGTGACCCTTCCCCCACGCCCACGTCCCACACATCCGCAACCTCCCGCTCGTCCCTGTCGTCGACGACCTACCACACCTCTCCCGACGGCCACCACAACGGCACCGGGGGAGGAGGCGGCGTGTTCCGCCGCTCCACGGACGCGTCGTCCGGCCGTCGCGGCATCCTGCACAAATTCGGCGGCGCCGGCGGCGCGGTGGAGATGGATCCCAGTATCGTCCAGGCCCGCGAGCGCGTCTTGGGCGCCGAGGCCGCCGAGAAGGAGGCTGACCGTGCCTTGCTCGCCGCCCGCGAGAGCGTTGCTGCCGCGAGGGCCGAGGTACGTAGGCTCGAGGAGGAGGCCAAGGAGGAGGCCAGGCGGGCCAAGATCAAGCAGTATCATGCCCGCGAGGTTTCCAAGCGTGGCCAGGCCCTGGGACGTGCGTACCACCATCCAGCCTCCTGAGGCAAACGTCCAAAGCTAACCCTTGTCTAGGTCACGGCGACTAAACATTCTGTAACACGCATCGGACGGAAACACAATGCCCGGGCGCCAATTATATTTCTAGACAGCTGTATTACTACTTATCAGGTTATGTGTCTCACGACATGGAATGGTTTTCTTCACGGGGAGTTTAGGATGACAGTTTGGTAGCACTCTTAGTTATTTGCAAAGTAAAAATGGCTGGCCAAAGGCTCTTCTTCATCACCTTCGCTTCGATCATGTATGATTCATCTTCCCGTGTCAACGAGTTGGACGGGCTGTACTATCCAATCCAACCATTACTCGTAGGCAGGCAGCCTCTCTATATGTTGGAACATGTTTCGAAACATCGAAGAGTCATTCAACCGCAACAGTTCTTGTGTATCCCACGTTGCGTTTTGTTATACACTCCGGTATCCGTAACTCGTCAATTGCCTGCGGGCACAGCACAGGACAGTAACAAGTCTAAATGGCGGAGCTGAGGGGTACTCCCGGGTCAACTAGGGGGAAGTCCATTGTCAGCTTGTCTGATCACTCGAGTAGAGAGGCGTTGAAAGCAGCCAGGGTCAGGTTCCTACGTAAGACGTGGCTGATATGCTGACTACCTATTTATTACACGTGCAGGAATCTAGGATCCCGAGTGATCAGCCCGGTCCCCAGTCCGACTGCGACAGATCATCGACTAAGCCCCGATCTCCGAACATCAGTATACGATCGGGGACGTGCCTAGGAGCCCATCGTAAACCCTCAGCAAGCACAAATCACCCCGTGTCTGACTCTTCGCGGGGGGGGGGGGGGGGGGGGGGGGGTGAGAGAGAGAGAGAGGGAGAAAGTATCAGGTCTAATATTGAAATGCGCCGCGTGTTTCCTAATTGTGTCACCAGTTGGTCTTTCATTATCCCGTCGCAGACTTGCGTCGGGGGACCTTGCGTCGTTTGTGGCCGATTTGCCACATATAAACAAGAGTTTTCAGGGTCTGTAGATCACGACGCAGAGACATATGGATGGCATATGGACAATTGAGTTCATTAAACATCATCTAGAGACAACTTTTATGCCTGTACAAGTCAATGAACGAGTCTGAAGACGGGCTGACTGCTTTTGCCATCCCCATCTGAGAAGTCTAGTAGCCAGAACACACGCATGTGCCATCCACCTACCACCTGCGACCTGCGAAGCCCGCTGTTTCTCTGTGGCCATGCTGTTCATGTGTATACGCGATCAGGACTAAAAGCCACGAGAAAAGAAGCCTAACCTTATAGCCCCTTATGTGCATTGAGAAGCGAAACGGGTATGTACAATTGTGCTCAAATGTGACCGGTGCCCAGAGGTATCGAGAAAAGTCGTGCCGACCACAAGTCCGTAGAGTGGTCGAAAACAAGAGAAGAAAAAGGTCGCGTCTGCCCAAGGAGCTGGACGGGCTGCAATAAAAGAGACGTAATCGGGCAATGCAAGGGTGTGCAAATCGAGGTTGAAAGAACCAATCCGTGGGAACGCCGACGCCTTTCCGAGTGACCGAGTGCCATACTGAGAATAGTATTTCGATGCCCGATCCCGTCAGAAACAAGGACCGCCAGTTCGATCGTGGCCGTGGGGGAGTGAGAAATGCGGAAAGCGCGAAACGCATGCCCTCCGATACGAACCCGCTCACATGACGGCGCACTGAGACTCTTCGCGGTCCTTCTTAACACTGAGGGCGACGCGGGCAGCCTCGGTGAAGGCCTCGTTGACGCCGCGGTTGCGCATGGCGGAGCACTCGAGATAGCGGAGGGCATTGATGCGACGGGCGACCTCCAGACCTTGCTCATAGTTAATCATAGGACGCTTCTCGCGCTGCTGGCCCTCGGCACCCTCCTCCTCCTCGTTGTCGGCCTCGCGGAGATCGCACTTGAGGGCGACTAGGACGAGCTTGACGCCAGGGCAGTTGTCTGCGATCTCACCAACCCATTTGCTCTCAACGTTCTCAAGGGAGTCCTTGCTGTCGACGCTGTAGCACAGCATGATCAAGTCGGTATCGTCTGCACTTAGTAAGCCAATGTTGTTCGATCCACCCTAGCCGATGATCCTACCGTAAGACAAGCTGCGAAGGCGGTCGAATTCCTCTTGGCCAGCAGTATCCCAGAGAGAAAGCTCGATGTGGACGTTGTCAACGAAGATGTCTAGTGGTGTTCGGGGTCAGCAGACTGTTTGGCGAAAAGGGGCTTCCGACGCCGGCGGCGGACGACGATGCGCCTTTCGCGGATATCGGCGGGAGGATCGCGTACCATGGACGTAGTTCTCGAAGACGGTGGGCTCATAGACAGTCGGGAAGTAGCTAAGCCAAGTTAGCAACGAAAGTGCGATCAAAAGGCTTGCGACCCTGGCCCCTTGAGGGAGCTGGGGTTGAAAGCCAAAGCTGGGGTTGAAAGCCAAACTTACCCTCTGGTAAAGACGTTCAACAGCGATGTCTTGCCGCACGCGCCATCGCCGCTGAAGGAAGGAAAGCAATCAGCCAAAGTCCACCAGTCGCAGACAGCCAAACGATACATGCAAGGACGGAGAGGAAGGTCTCACAGAAGGACCAGCTTGCGCTGGACAGTCTTGGATCCTCCACACAAAGGCATGGTGGGCAATTCTTGGTGGCCAAATGGAGAACGTGGTCGTGAAGAAGGCTGATCTGTTTAGGGGGAAGGGAGATGAGGGCAAGTTGACAGGATACGAGGTTTGCTTGCTTGTTCGTGGAGAGCAAGGAAAGAAGTCGACAGACGGCCAGTCGAGAACAGGGCACGAAAATGGATTGTTCGTCAGTTGATCAGCAAGGGGAAAGTGCCAAAGCGGTGGCTGTTATTTGCAGTTAGGTCTGGATCTGGGTCTGGATCTGAATTGGTAATGTGCGACAGCAAAAGGAAGCGTAATAAAGAAAGAACGAAAGGCTGACGGGCGGCGCCTCAGAGAAGGAGAGGGTGGAGTGGAAAGATGGTAAAGTGGGAGGGAAGGTACGGCAGCCGGGTTCCTTCTGGTGAGGTGATGGAAAGGAAAGGTGGGGGAGGAGAGAACAAAAGAAGTAAGGAAGGTACGCGTTTGGCAGTGCTGAGGTACTGTTTCTGGAGAGGAAAGGGCTAGGCTGAGGTGGAGTGGAGCGATGTTCAATGTGTGAAGCAACGTGAGTAAGGCAAAGGCGAGAGCAGAGTCTCTGCAGTGTGTCCGTAGTGTAGTGTAGTGTAGTGTAGTGTAGTGCGTGCAGCTCGAGTTGCAGTGCCTACCCAGGGAGGTATGCTACCTACCTATGAAATGGGGGTAGAAAGACGCAGGAGCAGGAAATTGAGTTGGGAAATGGCAGCCGACTCAATTGGCGGAGATGAAGTCAGAAGGGCCGCAGAATAGAGCGAAAAAGACCTAGAATGGACAGGGTCAAGATCTCTGTTGCCGGGGTTAGCCTGGGAGTAAATGCGAGGTAAGGGGACCGACAGTGGACGGGCTAGGATTGGAACTGGACTGGGAAGGACTAGGTAGGAGAAGGGAAGGGAAGGGAAGGAAACCACTGCAGCAGCTGGATGTGCACAACTGAAAGTAGTAAGAAACGAAATTGGACACTGCCTAGGTGCCTACCTACCTACCTACGTACCCAAGTACACAGACTACGGGTACTTAGTAACTACCTTGTATCTGTAGTGAGAACGGAGCACCTACTCTGTTCCAACTCTGTACACATGCTTACACTCAGCCACACTGTCTCACCTTCTATCCTCTCTTTGCACAAGCGCGAGCGAGGGCAATAAGAGGGGACTAGGGTGGGCAGCATTATCAATTGAGCCCACAGGAAACAAGCAAACGAGGCCAAACGAAGGGGCACCTAACCGAACTGATGAATGTCACTGGCACTAGCAGAGCATCTCCACTTCCCGCATCCTTGACTTTGACCTCCGTACGGACACTCGCACTCTGTCCCGTTGCCTCACCTCTTTCTAAGGAGGAGCCCAATCCCCGGACCTAGGCTTGATTCCCTGTGGATGGAAGAGCTGAGCGCAACAATCATCATCATGGCTCAGCCAGCTGCACAAAAAGTGGTGGGGAATTCCCCATCAAATATCAGCACGCACCCACCCGGGCTTGTCTGCATGCACTATGAGGTTGCAGACACCCGATCCACCCTCTGCCCTCTGACAGGGAATACACCAGCTGGAAAAAGGGAAGGGGAGAAAGGAAAAAAAGCGTATTCTCATCGCCTCCAATCTCTGAGCTATATTCTTCCACAAGAGCACACCACCAATCCCCTTTACTGACAACCCTCGCTCGAATCTTGAGACAACAACGAGAAGAAAAAGAAAGAAAAAAAAGAAAAAAAGAAAGAGAAACATGAGCCTCTTCGCCCAGAAGAACTTTGGTAAAGCGGCAAAAAAGAATGGGCTATTTTGCTTGCCTGCCTCCCGTCTTCCCTCCCCTTCCATAACAAGGTCGCGACATGGCCGGCCGCGGTGGCGCTTGAGGAATCCCCGAAGCCTATCAGCGAAAAGTCTGTCAATCCTGCTCTAGTGTACGTACATCATGCATGTATCGCCATCGCCACACCCAAAAGCCAGAGAAGAGATGCCTGCAACGATATTGCTACTACGCATGCTCACTGCAGGCCTTTCAGATGCCCTCGGGGCTCGGCTGCGTTGAAGTTGAAATATGTAATACGGGGATAGTTGCTTCGCTTCCGGTCTTTCGCCCGGCTCGGCGCACCTCAGATCACGGCCAAAATCCCTAGGCCACCGTCCCCTTAGTAACAAACCTTAGGCCTAAGTCGGTTGCAGTCATCCGGGTTTACTGCATCTTCAACGCCATAAAGCATAGATTGCACGACACATTCGCCCCGACGAAACAACTTCACTATTCCATCAGAAAACCCCATTGTAGCCCAAGGAACCACCGCCATCTGGAACAGGCATATCCCGACAGCACTCCCGTCGCAAAGCGCCGAAGCTCGATTCGGAAGAAGCCCCGAGGGCAGCCAGTCAAACAGATAGTCTGTTTTTATGACTGTGTACGGTTAATCCTGTGCACCTGTGCGACCTCAAGAAGGGACCGTCTTGTATCAGTACCTTAGTCAAACAACAGACAGACGGCAACCACAGCTTCGAGCCACTCAGGCCGCCCACGCACTGGCCTACACCGTTGGCGTCTGTTTCCGGCCGTCCAGGATTGCGATAGGGAATGCCGTTGACTTCTATCGTCATGTAATCCAGAGCTCCCCTTCGCCGGTCTTATGGGCAGGTGGCAATCGTCAGCCTTCATGGAGACGTAACACTGCGCATTGAGCCTGTGAGGCACGGCCCAGGATTGTGACGTTCGTCGCCCTGCCAAGCGTCGCCTTGCCACACTCCCTTTCATGCTTCGGGTCTCCCACCCTCCGCCACGGGCCTTACCTTTTGACTATGATCAATAGATTTCATACATGAGTGCCTTTCGCTGGCGCCCGGATGGCATGCCATCAGACCCCACGACTTTTGCAGCAATAGCACAGCACAGCACAGCACAGCACACTGTTGCTATGGAACCAGCAAATCGAGAATGCGATTGTCCCTGTATATCTCAGTGTCCGGTCACTTATGTACCAGTTGGGTATTTGATCTCTATGCTGACTCATGCGTCTGTCTCCCTTTCAACTCCCCGCAAACCGGCATGCCGCTCAACGTCCTGGAAGAACCATCGATGACGTGAAGCCAGAAAGAGCTTTCCGTCATGTCATGCGGGGAGTCATATCCCGAAAACCCCTCATCACGAAATCCCACATTCCGGCCATCATCCTATCAGGCCATACACAGGCGATCATCAGTTAGCCAGTGCTATCAAGGCCCGTTTCCGCATATCCGGCCTCCGCTGTGTGTTCGAGCTACCCAGGCAAGTACACTAAAACTCTCATGCTCTGTTCGCCTTCTCTTCTCACCATATGCTCCGCAAAAAGGCTGGTCTTTGTTTCCCCCGCCCTGGTGTTTCCGCGATGCTCCGCGCGTCATCCTCTCAGTCGTCATCCCGCTGCAGCCCTTGCTTGCCCCGGCCCATCCTCTCGCCCAGGCTCATATTGCCAGCCTTGCGATGCAAGCCGTTGACGAATTCCCTGTCTCCGTACTTGGAGGACCGTTCTCTTGCCTGGCTGTCGGCGTCCCGCGCTGCCTTCTCCCGTTCCTCCAACGCCGCCAAACGGCGGACTCGGTCAGTGTCAAGGTCCGAAGCCGCAGCTTGCATGGCCGCCAGCTTTCGTGCCCTTTCTTCGTCCGCAGCCTGATTACCTGCCTCTTTGCTATCGCTGATGCGATCATCCGATCGCCTGCCTTGGTCTTGACGCCGATTGTCGTAGTTTCTGCGGCCCCGAGACCCTGATACATCCATGTTGCGGTCGTCTCGCCTGTCGATGCCACACGGTGACCTTTCTCGTCGTCTAGTAGCGCGATCTTCTTCAGACACTGAGCCAGACCGTTGTCGTTCGCGGTCTTCCCTGCGGATGCTGCGGTGTCGCCTGGCATGGTCGTCCTTGTCGCCTGAATCGCGTCTGCGGGGCGACCTCGATCTCGAAGTCCGCCTGTATCGATGGCTATGCCTGTCCTCGGAATCGCTGCGACGCCACGGCCTCTCGTGTCGATCTCCATCCTTAGAGTTGTCTCTTCGACGGCGTGGGCTTCTCGATCTGGAGTAGGATCGGCGCCTCTTTCGGTGTCTATCTCCGTCGTCATCACCACCGCGATGTCTGTGATGATGTCTCCTCTTGTGCTTCTCTTCCTTATCCTTCGACTTCAACTTGTGATCTGCCATGCCCATAGACGCCAATAACTGTCTTCGCTTGATGGGGTCGTTCATCATCGCCTCGTAGGCAGCCTGCTCTTGTCTTTTGATGGCGAGCAGAGGATCTTCTCTAACCTTGGCCGCCGTATCTCGTGCTGTGTTGGCCGTCTGCAATGCCATGAAACTCTCCTGGCCAGCCTGTTTCTCTAGGTTCTTGTGTTCGGTGCCTTTGAGGAGGTTGTCGATGCGGCGCTTGCCCAGAAGGTAGCTCTCGCGCTCCTCTGTTGTGCCGGTTTGGCCATCGGTGGGGCCATTGTATAGAAACTCGACGCGGTCGACTCGTTTGGTGTGACCGGCGGCCTCGAGCTTCTTCTGGAGTTCTTCACGCTCGCGCTCCTCCTTGAGTTCGTTGATCCTCTGCTGTGTTTTCTTGCGCTCTTCGAGAGCCTTCCGTTCCTCCTCCCAGACCTTGGCCTGGTTCTTAATAAGAGAAGGGTGGAAACTCTTCTTCAAGTTGAGATCGCCACCCATTTTGCCGACTGTTCTCGCGAAATGTTGAAATGAGGTTCGGCAGGGTTATGGGGATGCGTGACGTGGAAAAGCGTTCGTGGCGGATGGCGTTGATTGATTCGAGTTTGGAAACTGCTTAGAAGGCTGGCGCGGCTGGGCACCTGGAAAAGTTGCCTCCCGCCTGCCTGGTCAGTGCGCAATCTGATGTATCTGGTGGGTCCGCCAATCGATAAGCTCCCCCGCCTCCAACGTCCCACGCCCAGCTAGGCACTCTGGCACTTCCATCAATTAGCCTTACGACAACATACCGAACATCGTCAACTTCTTTCCTCTTGCGATCCTGCATCAAGAGATTCTTGACCCAAGTCCCGGCCGTAATCGATTTTCTCGTCTTACGCCCATCCACAATCGCCTGCTAAGATGTCTGACGATGAAGACTTCATGCAGGAGTCGGATGAGGAGCAGTGAGCTCCCCTCAACTGGGGATTTATACCCCGGTATCGTTGTGGAAATCCCTGGAGCTAACCCTGAAGCAGGTACGATTTCGAGTACGAGGAAGACGACGACGAGGACTCGGGAGATGTCGGCATCGAGAACAAATACTACAATGCGAAGCAGCTGAAGCTCACCGATCCCGAGGATGCCATTGCTGAGTTCCTAGGCATACCACCATTAGAGGCTGAAAAGGGCGAATGGGGGTTCAAAGGATTAAAGCAAGCCATCAAGCTTGAGTTCAAGCTGGGGCAATATGAAAAGGTTGTGCCGGGGTTTCAGGGCGAGACCTAATGAGAGATGGCAAATGCTGACACTGAGACCAGGCGACAGAGCACTACGCCGAGCTACTGACGTATGTCAAGTCGGCTGTGACGAGGAACTACTCTGAAAAGTCGATCAACAATATGCTGGACTACATCGAGAAGGGATCGGATGGACCCAAGGCAGTAGCGTGTGTCGAGAAATTCTACTCGCTAACGCTCGAGAGCTTTCAGAGCACCAACAACGAGAGGTTGTGGCTCAAGACAAACATCAAGCTTGCGAAACTCCTGCTTGACCGAAAGGACTACAACACTGTCACCAAGAAGCTTCGGGATCTCCACAAAGCTTGTCAGAAGGAAGACGGCAGCGACGATCCCAGCAAAGGCACTTATTCTATGGAAATATACGCCCTCGAGATCCAGATGCACGCTGAGACCAAGAACAACAAGCAGCTCAAGCGCCTCTACCAGCGCGCCCTGAAGGTACGATCGGCTGTCCCCCATCCCAAGATTATGGGCATCATCCGCGAGTGCGGTGGAAAGATGCACATGAGCGAGGAGAACTGGGCCGAGGCCCAGACAGACTTCTTCGAGTCCTTCCGCAATTATGATGAGGCTGGTTCGCTGCAGCGCATCCAGGTGCTAAAGTACCTGCTTCTTACGACCATGTTGGTCAAGTCAACCATCAACCCCTTTGACTCGCAAGAGACCAAACCATACAAACAAGATCCTCGTATCACTGCCATGACGGAACTAGTGGATGCCTATCAGCGCGATGACGTCCACGCCTACGAGAACGTCCTCCAGAAGAACCAAGACATCCTTGCCGACCCCTTCATCGCCGAAAATATTGATGAGGTGACGCGCAACATGCGCACCAAGGGCGTCATCAAACTCATTGCACCCTACACACGAATGAAGCTAGGATGGATCGCTAAACAGCTCAAGATCTCGGAGCCCGAGGTTCAGGACATCCTTGGCTTCCTGATCGTTGACGGCAAGATCGATGGCAAGATTGACCAGCAGGCTGGCACGCTCGAGATTCAGTCGGACGCGGATAGTGACCGCACCAAGGCGTTGTATGAGCTTACGCAATCCGTCTCCAGCCTCTACGCGACCGTATTCAAGGAGGGCGATGGCTTCCGGTCAACTGACTTCCCCACTGACGAGCAGGCCATGGAGCTGATTGGTGGCGGCATGACACCTAGAAGCGGCGGTCTGCGAGGTCACCCGCGTGGGCCTGGACGGAAGGGCAAGGGAGTGATGCCGTTGTGGACCTGATTAGTATGGGTAAGAGCATTGGCCGGAGTTTATGGGTCGATGGATTAGGCAGACTTGATTGGTAACTGCTGCCTTGCATCTATTGACTTGACGCGACAGACGACGGAAACACACATGAGGCCTCATTGAGGTCAATGGCGGCAGGGCGCCGAGCACAGAGAGAGAAGGGACAAGAAAGCAGAATTAAGAACTCCAAAATATACCACAGAATCGCCGTCCAAACAAACAGCAGATTTTATCCTGCAATGCTTCCACGAGCAGGTACAGCATAGCATGTATGACAGTGAGCAAGGCGGGAGGGAGCATCTGGTTCCTCTTAGGGAAAAGGTCAGAAGCATCTTCCCGCTGCAAGTCGATTGATCCGCCGAAACTTTCTGAAACTCGTGGAACCCCATGGGTAAAAGACCTGGGAACCAGAGAAGGGAGGGGAAGTAGGGGCTATGCTCAACGATGACATGCGGGCATTTTGAGAGATAGCTTCCCAGCGGGTTGGCCTTGTAGGTTTACATTGTTTGTATAGAAAAGTCAGACTATTCGGCTCTGTCTGGTCAAAAGGCCAGTTTTGTACGTACATAACCATGGTGCATGCTTCAAAAGATGCAGACTTTTGAGACCTCTTTGGGATCGGAGAGCGCTGCCGTAGGTATCTGCTCTCTTTCTCTCTTTCTCAGATACATGCTGGAATACGACGTCCTCATCTCCACAGCCAATATGAAACAAGCAAAGGAGAAAAAGCGCATATAGCAGAGCAGATATTAAGTTTAAGACTTCAGCAGTTGGGCCTGACAGAATTGCAGCCGAGCAGAACGGCCAGGAGGGCCGCTCCCAATGGTTCCTCAGCATAGCATCGAGCTAAAGAACTTTACTTCTCCTTGGCCTTGGTGTGCTGCCTGTCCGAATAGTGATGCCGACCGACCATCGTGCTCCTCAACTCCTCCTTCCTAAGGGCAGTATAAATAACCCCCCTCCGTAGATCGTCTCGCCTGTTTTCGTAGAGCTACCGTAACTCTGGTTGTTTAGCGCTGTGTAGGTTGTATCTGGTCAAACCCTGCCCGGAGGTTCCGTGTGGGCACCTGTCGCATTACACAGCATGATGGATGTCTTCGTCACTTTCTCCAATAGATATGAACCTTGTTCAGAGATGATATCACACTCACATTCCGGAAGCAAAAATTGGCCATGTGCGACCTCAAGAGGTACCACGTATACGTGCTTCGTTCAGAGTATCAAGGATCGAAGCCGGTCCGGCCACTTAGACGCCTACAATGGACGCAAAATGCACAATCTTATACAATAAAATGATGGGTTATTTGCAGGAGACTTGCACCTTGTCTGCTTTCTTATCATCCAGCCCCCCCCCCTTCTCTCTTTCTCTCGGCTGGATACAAAGCAAATGCAGACTCAACTGATGCATGTATATAAAGCAGAACCCCCTTGTGGTCGTACAGACACACAATGATACTGAAACAGTCGGAAAAAACACAGTATGAATCCATGCCCGATGCTTAGCACGATAATAGAAGTTTTGTAGATAGAAACACGATATCATGGAGGTATCCGGCTATCCAAGTACTCTATGCATGCTGACTCACCACCGTGAAGAAATGAGTGGCAGGTTCAGCCCAGGATGGCTACTCAGACGGCTTTGTGTCGCCGCGGGGATTAATAGGTCGATGGCTGGATGCCGCAGCCTGCATCACACGGCATGAAGCGAGGAGGGCAGGGAAGAAGGCGAGGCAAGCGAGCATCCGAAACTTGTTGTGGGACTGATGCGGCCCACGGCCGGGGAGGAGTCGGGTCCTTGTTGCGATATGTTTGGATGAGCGAGAGTGTGTGTTTGTCTATATGATGGGTGTTTGCATTCCGCAATATTGGTATTCTTGAAAGGAAAGGGTAGCACGAAGCTTGAGACTTTCTCTGCGAAGAGGGATACAGGATCCGATGGTGGCTTTTGGATCCCTATCGATGCTGCTGACGACCGGACCTAACGGCCATAAACTTGACAATGATTGTTGCGAACAGGCTCTCTCACATTTGAACGAATACTCGTTCGCGCGCGGCCTTTGATTATTCGCCTGACCTCAAGTCCTGGGAACATGTTCTGGCTGTGCGTTTTCCGGGAAGTGTGCTCCCGCATCTTGCGGTTAAGGTTCAAGAGGTTCCCGAAAGCAGTGCGAGAGCAGTGAGAACGTCGGTCACTTCACGAGAGTTGACCCCTTAGCTTGGCGTGGTGGAGATTCCAACAGCCCTCTCCAGCATGTTGTCGTTGGGAACTGCGCTGAGCACCCCCCTGAGGGGTTAATGAGACCCGGCAACTCATTGTTCTTCGCCGCTCCGGGCTGTGAAAGCCGATTCTCGCAGACGTGGCTGACTAGCTCAACAGCGTAGGAGGCCACAAATAGGATACGAGGTGGGCGACATTGTCAAAAGTTCGGACCCACGCCTATGAAGTCTCAGATTCGCGACTCTTTTTGTCTTGAGCTTGAAGACAGCAGGAGGCGAAAGAGGCGGATTCAAGGATGGAGGCAGACCATATGCCCGTCCTCAACACGCGCGCAAAAGGGCCGAATGCGCCGGAAGCACGCGGTGTAATACCACCAAGATCCGCGTCTAATCCAGAGGTCCTTTTACTGAGGGACTGCAAAAGGATTTGTCATGGAGCTTCTGCTACGCAGATGGTTATCGGGGCGGGAACGGAGCGCCGGACCACGGTAGAAATGGACTAAGCCTGAATGCAACCCTGTCTACCCCATTCTTTCCACTGCTACGGATACTCATGACCTACTACTCAGTAGTAACCACGAGCAACGCTGTTATTTTGGAGGTAGCTCCCCTTCATTTTGACGTACGCGATCGTTGTTTACTGCGAGTTTTGTGATGATTAGATGCTAGACTGGACATTGTTGCATCCCTCTCTTATGCTCGCTCATACGGGATGGAATTAGTGTGCCTGACGCACCTTGTACAACGGCCCCAATGGAGCATCGTAAGAATACGAGACTGGCCAAATGAGATCGTGTAGGCATGTGGCACCCCCTCCCCTCCGAAAAACCCACCGGTCCTTCGGACAATCGTGCGCGGAACAGGCCGTCGAGCAGTCCCACAACCCCAGTCAGCCGCATGGGACGGGATATGTGACGCGATTCCTGGACTCGCGGATTGAGACTGCCAGACTCCGACAGAGTATGTTGACCATGTGAGATGTCGTCTCCAGGTACCGGCTAGCATGGGGCTAGTAGAAGATTTTCCATGGATGGAGAGAAAAAATTGATTGTGACCTGCACAGTTCGTATAGTTATACTGACACCTCACAACTGGACCAATACGTATTCTATAATCCTTTACTACCTACCTTCAACATCTCGTTCACGGACGGCTAGACCTTGCCACCGTGCCTCGCGCTCACTGATGTCGCCCAGGTCTACTAGAAGACATGCTCAGTATGGTTCATCTTCGTCTTTATTCAATGGCCTCCCGCCATAATTAGTTGGAACTGTGAATCAGGAACGCGGAGACGCATGCTTGGCCCTGGGCGACGGGACGCACATGGCTTGGCTGTACCCGGTAGCTCAAAATAATGGGAGGGGGTTAGCGGCTGCCGTCAACAACTGACAGGCGCGTCGCCATGCGATGTAAGCTCAACAGGTTGCGCTAGGCCGGTTTTTGGTGTAAGCCGACTTTCGTGTAACATTGGCCCGGTAATGTTGGAGCACATACAAAGGGCAGACCACTGAAGCAACCATTGGCAGCCCTAACGGGGATGGTACCAGATGCTGAGCGGTCAGAGCCCGGAAGCGATATGAAAGTCGGACACCGGAAGGGCTCTCCGTAGAAACAATAGAAGAGGATTGACAGCCCACATTGCCATTGTCGTCGCCGTAGCTGTCGCGCTTCTTGCGTGTCTCGTCACCCTTGCCCGCTTCATGTTGCATTTGTTTGACAGATTAAAGGTGACAGAGGACTGGCGAGAGAACAAGCGAAAACGCATTGGTCCCTCTTGCGGAGACTCACTCCATCCATGCTTTTAGATGATGCTCCAACCAGGGTCGATGAAGCCGGGGAGTAAGATCTGTGGCTGTATTGGCGGAGCTACATCTCCGACGCCAATGGATATAGAGAACTAAATGTGAAGGAATTATGGTATGACCGTGGAGAGAAAGAGAGACGATCACGATGGATAGACTTGAATCGGTGCTACCGAGATACGACATGAGCAACTATCCGCACACTAGGCACCTAGGGCGGCACAGCGGGTGCGTGCACGCATGCGCTTGTCTGCCTCCTTGTGCACCATCTACGTACCTAGGTAGGTACATGGCACGAGAAATGGCATCTTGCTAAGGTGCAGGTAGTGTGGGTAGCTGCCGTCAGCCAGACCCTTGCTTGTTCGAACGGTGAAATACAGGCCCCCCCTGGCTTGACCTCTTGTTAAAATGCCATCCTTGCAAGACTCGAGAGCCTTTGTCTCTGAGCTTGCGAGCGGGAGGTGACGATGATTACAAAGCCGATGGAAAGCTCCCTGCCTGCCTGCCTGCCTGCCGGAGACCGAGTGCTCGGCTAGCCGCGCTTTCCTCCCCGACAATTGAAAGTCGCCCTTGCCCCAGGATTCTCGACGCTTGCCTAGCGTCACCTCCTTTCTTGATACGTACCTACCTAGGTAGTGTACCTGGGCAGTATATCCGTACGGATACCACCAAGACATGAACAATAGCGAGGAAGGAGCTACCGGTATGGTCTTTGCATCCTGCCCTTTGACACAGACCTCCACAAATCGAAGGCAGGCAGGCATCATTCCGCCTCTTGGCGGAAAAGGCTTACAACGCCAGTCCATACATTCTCAATCATCGAGATAAGAAATCGGCACCGGCCACGACCAACAACACGGCATGCTGCCAAGACATTTACCCCACCCGCACGCCCTTGTCGAAGCACAGACGGGTATAAGAGCAGATGGGCAGGCATACCACGCAGGATCCCCCCCCCCCCGGCAACATACCCAGGTAGGTAGGTGTACGGATAGATAGATACCTACCTACCGTACACTGCATATACAGCGTCCTCCAGTACAGGGTGGCAGGGGAAAGCTTTATGGCCCTAGTGATGTAAATCGCCACACAGTATCCGCATCTAAGCACCCTACCTATCTCTTATAGAAATCTATAGTGGTGGTGATAGGTAATGCGTAATAGCTAGATGGCGTTGACAGCTGGCGGACCGGAGGGGGGGGGGGTGGGCGGGGGGTACCTGACAGGGGCGATAAAACTTCGGCCTGGTACCATAGTACATCATCGTATATCCTTCGCACGCAACACCATAACACGGATGTCTCTGCTGTAACTTATTGTACCGCCGCATCCTGCCCACTACCCGTCCCCCTCGCCAATCTTGCCCCTTTGGTTAGACTTGGGGATTGTCGACGATAGAAGTCTAGTTATGAACCAATTGACGACTTGCAGGAAAGCATGATGCAGACCCGGTCACGCCAGACCGGGCTAGGCCTAGCTGCGAAACAGGATCGTCAGGCTATCAGTCTCATTGCTCGTTTCCCTTTGTCTTTCCACGTCTCGTTTATTCACCTCGTCCAGTACACTCATCAACCACCCCTCGAGGGTTTTCTGCTCCACCATGTTCGTTTAATGGGTCGTCCGTTGGCCTTTTTTATTTTATTTTTCTTAATTTATATAGCTTGGGCCAGGACTTGATCCGAGGGTACCTTGCAGACAGACAGACGGTGGATATGCCGCCTCGTTGCTCGCGGCACGGACTGGATTGGCGCAGATCCGTAATTCAACCCCCCGTCCCATCACTTCACCCCTCTCCGTCTCCGTCCGCTCCATCTTCTTTGGCCAGACCGTGATCAGAATCGTGACCACCAACCCCAACCGAGTATATCTGTACTTGTATATTGCCAGACCATGCTATGGATAGTGTGCTGCAAGAAGACTACCCATACATGCTTGGATCAGGGCCATGGCTACCATCCATCACACTTTGTGCGCCTCCCTCCCATTCTCTGTGCCTGTCCCTCTCGCACACACACGCACACACACACACGCTCTCTCTCTCTCTCTCTCTCTCTCTCTCTCTCGCCCAATTTCTGTCCGATATCCGTACTTGGTTCATCGTCCCCTGCATCCCCCTGCCTTGCATGAGTAAACGTACCCTGGTCTCATCTTGACAAGGTCACGGACAGAGGCACGGCACGGCACTGAACGTACTTTATGGCGCAAGCGTGCTACTGGCTAGACCCTAGCCGATACCGCTTTTCCTCATCTCACTGTTGTTCTGATATCACTACTGCTCTCTCTACACCTCTGCCCTGCACATGCGGTTATCGGTGCTGCTGCCCCCCCAGCGTTGTGACATGCTAGCTCCCATCGCCCGTTCTTGGTGCAACCAATGCTATCATAGGGCATGCCACATCGGTTTCCTCGCGTTTTGTCTGCCGTCCTCTCAACCAGCCATCTTACACTACCTGCCTTACACTACCTGCCTTACATGGGCCGCCTGGGTTGGCAGCCACAAGCGACCCTTGTGTTTCCTCAACCGGTGGTTGCTTACTTACACTTCTTCTCCTTTCCGTTCCCTTTCCTTTACTTGACCTGATCCCCCTTTCCTCTTCGTCTCCATCTTCCTCCCAATCTTCATATTCGACCTCACCGCCCTGTATCCTTTCCCCAATCCTGCCGCTCGACTGGCGTTCGCTTACATCGGCTGGTCCCTCCGCCATTGTTGTCTGTCAGCAGCAGCATTGGTAGCGAGCGTGCTAGGCCGTGATACCGGGCTCCTCCGCCCTATCGTACCTCGTCCGCCGATCACTCGCCGCGTCACACTCATCATATCATATCGAACTATTCCACCACACCATCCACCATTCATCCAAAACGGTTCAGCTCGGGTCACATATCAACAGGGTTGGGAGAGCGAAGCTGGATACAGCCAATCGAGGACACCCATTCGAACTGGATCCAACACGGCTGAGAACATCTCCAAACACGCCAACGCCCAGGACAAGCAAACAGAAGGTGCCGGGCCAGGACCAAGGAGACCACTACAGCGTAATCCTGCCACCCCTCCCCCCCAGACACACCGCATCGGACCACTCTCACGGCAACGGCCAGAAGCGGACCCCAGAGACGATCGAACAAATCGGCTGGCGTTCGAGACTCCCAACAGCCCACGCTAATCATAGGCTTGTCGACGCGCTGACTCCAGAAAGGAAGTGAATGAATGGACAGACGCACCCCGCAAAACCATAGGTCACATCATATCTAGGTTGGAAGGCCGTCGAATTTCTGCACTATCGCCCACCCCCCCAGTATCCAAGCCTTTCATTCGACGCCGCCAGCCAAGGCGTATACATGCGATTTGGGATATCCGTTGGGCTGCTTTAGCTGGCCTTACTCGAACCCCAAACTTTGTGTGTATGTGTGTATATGTGTGTGTGTGTGTGTGTGTGTGCGCGTGTGTGCGAGAGGGAACGTCATTTTATTTCTTCTTTCTCGCCTCTTTCAGTTGGACTGAAATCTAGGCAGCCTGTTACTGAGGTTGGCCATCTTATTTGTTGCTCGTTTATTACACACTATTTCCCTGGCCCCCAGGTCTGGACCGGTACTTGTTGGTGTATCGGAGCGCACCCATTGCGTCGTCGGCCTGATTTGTTGTTAACTCGGCCTCCTCCCTCCCTTTTCTCACTCCTCGTTTGCAATAATCGTCCTGCATCCGTCCTCTTTTCTTTCCGGCCCCCCCTAGGTGTTCCTCTCTGCGCATCTCTTCCCCTCATCTCACCAATCACTTGCGCATCGGCCCAGCGTCGGGGACTCAGCATAAGACAAATTTGCATGAGTCGTCAGCAATAGCGGCAGCTTTGCGCATCGCCTTACCGCACTTTCACGCCAATTGTAGGCGAGGGTCTCAAGACATCGACAGCGAGAGATCCGACACAAAGCCTAACAGGCCGACAGCAAAGCCTAGCCGAAGCAAGGGAAGGGCAGCCACGGCGTCAGCGAGGCCATGTTCCAGCCTCAACCAACGCCTTTTGCGTTTCATGCATCCCCTCAACCGTACACTCATCTCGACCCTCGGTCTTACAACCAGTCCCACGAGCCACGGTCTGAAAATCAATCCTGTTCCAGTCATGGAGGAGGATACGATATCATTACTATGGAAGGTGGGGTCCGGCTTGGAGGGATGATGATGGTAAGCGAAGGCGAAGTGGCGGGCGCGAGTTCGGCGCACCACGGCATTGACATTGGCGTTGGCGACTACAGCTTCTCGCCGACGCCGCTGGGAGCAGCAGCAGGAGGAGCTATGATGGCGAATCAGAACCAAGCTGGGTCCGGAGCTGGAGCTGGTGTGGGTTCATCGACGAGCACAGGAATGGACATCAGACAAGCAACCGGGCAAGGGCACAGCATGGGTGGCCCTACCCTAGCGGCGGCGGTGATGGGCGGCGATGGTGCTGGTGGTGCTGGTGGCGGCGGCGGTGGTGGCAGTGGCTTGCGACTGGGGCTGGGCGTCGTCGACATGGACCTGGGGTTGGGTCTGGACCACCTGAGTTCCAGCGCACTGCAGTCGCCATTGCAGTTACATTCACAGTCGCAATCGCTATCTTTGGGAGGCGAAGCTGCAGGCCCCAGCAGGTCAATCTCGCTAGTAGCCCAGGCACAGGCACAGGCACATGAACAGGGACAGCTCCAGCAGCGACGGCAGCAGCGGCAGCGGCAGCAACATGGACATGCCCAACAACAGGCGCCCCCAACAGCAACGACAGCGGTTGCGGGAGCGGCTACTAAAACACCAACACCACCAGGTCAAGGTCATCATGGACCTGTGCCTGTGTTTGGGTCTGGACGGGCTTCGAGTTCTCGTCGTCCTCCTCCTCCTCCTTCTCCCTCTGGTCCCGGCGGTTCTACTCGTGCATCTCACTCAGCGACTGTCGGAGAGCGAGCCGGCGGTGCTTTTCAACTTGCTGGTGGTGCTGCTACCAGAAACGGCCTTTATTCCTCCTCCCCGACCGCTTCTTCTTCTTCTTCTTCTTCTTCCCTTCCCGCCCCTTCGTCTTCTTCTTCCCCGTCGTCCGTTGTTGCCGTTTCCACTGCGGCCTCCGGCCCTCCCGCTCCCGCTGTCGCAGCCCACTTCCATCACAACCATAATCATAATCACCAAAACCCAAACCTAAACCATAACCGCGACAGCCCCGGCGCATCCTCTCCCGCCACATCCTCCTCCCGCCGATCCCTCTCCAACCCCAACTCGTCCTACTCCCACTCCTTCTCCGACCACCACCAGCACGCGTACCCCGGAGCTGCATCTTCTACATCTACCTCTCCTGCCTTTTACAACTCCAACTCCAACCCCAACACCACCACCACCACCACCACCAACAACAACAACAATAACGCCTGCGTCGCCCTCGCTGCCCCAAGCATCGCCCACTCTGCGAGCACTCGTCTGTCCACCATGGAGCCCGGCGACCCCTCCGATCTCGCCGCCCAGGAAGCTGCGGCGAGGGACTACCAACCGCAGTTGGAGGTGAGTTTTGCCCATCCCCCCCGACCGCACGCCGGGGAGCCTAAGCTCCATGCGGACCGAAGCGCCCCGCGCCTTCTCATTCAGCTTCAACCTTCTCAGCCCTTCATCTTTGCGCGACCTCTCAAGCAACCCCCCTCGATCTGTATTCATCATCCGCCGTTCCTGTGTCTATGAGCTGTAGCAAGATGCAATACTCCTTTGCGACATACACTGACATGCTTTGCTCCACCCTTGTAGGGTCAATTGGTGGGCGACAAGACCACGAGCGACGCCATCACCGACGAGTACGCCAAGGCCGACGACATTTATGTCGCGAAGACAATTGTGAGTCCTCACCGCCCATTTTTTCACTCCAACTCCCTCGCCATCTCAACCCTGACTAATCTGCTCCCTCGTCGTCTCCCGACAGAGCCTCCCGCAGACCTACTCGCACTACCGGCCCATCCAAGGAGATGGCAATTGCGGCTGGCGAGGTGAGTTCAACCGTTCGAGATCCCGCTGTTTAGTGCACTACATCCATCAACACCGCCGCCCACTGCCCCCCGTTCTCCCACACTCCGAGGAGTGTCATGGCATGGCTTCGGAGCTGTTAAGCACACCACCTTCAGTGGAATTTTGGCACCCCTCACTCCATAGCCAGCCAGCCCTGGATCACGGCAAAGTCTGGTAGCTGAGGCACAAGCATCGTTGGCTAATGTTTGCCTCTAGCAATTGGCTTTTCTTACTTTGAGCACCTCGTGAATAATGGTGATCAGCACGAGATACTTGGCGAGGCCGCCCGCATCCAGAGCCTTGATCAGTATCTTCTTCGCGTCGGCGGTTACGACAAGATGCTATTCGAAGACATGGTGGAAGAGACGATCGCTCTCCTGAAAGAGCTAGCTCAGAACGTCACCAATCCTCAATTGGCCATGCACATCTTGGTCCAGCGCTTCAACGACCAGGACGTCTCCAATGCCATCATCTATCACCTTCGGCTGTTGGCGAGCTCATGGCTAAAGGGAAATTCCGAGTCATACGAGCCCTTCATCCCCGCCGAGATGGGTATTGCCGGCTACTGCGCCGAGCTGGAGCGTCCTAACAGGGAGATTGAGCATCTCGGCATCACGCTTCTTGCACAGGTGCTGCTAAAGCCCGTCAACTTCGTGCTAGAAATAGCATATCTCGATCGTAGCCCAGGCAACCAAGTCAACATTTACCGCTTCCCCGACGAGGCCAACGGCCAGGATCCCGCCAACCTAGGCTCTATCATTTACCTGCTTTACCGACCTGACCACTACGACATCCTTTACAAGTCGCCCCCGAACCCTGCGCCTCTGAGCCTGCAGGTCAACCGCGCCACTTCATTTTCTCACCGACACGATATTGGGAGCGTGGCGACGTCGCTCCACAGCTATGCCAATCTTGATTATGGTCCGTTGGCCATGCTGCCCGGCTTTGGCGGCCCGGCTTCCGGTTTGTCCTCGGGCTTGTCCTCAGGTTTGTCCTCACTAGGTTCTCCCACCTCAACCTCACCTTTGCCGGATGCCTTCGATCCGCCGTCGCAATCTCCTTGGCTCGCGACGCCATATTCCGAGCACATGCAGCAGCAACAGCAGCAACCTGTGTCAGCTCCCCGCCCTCAGCCTCAGACAGCATCCCAGCCCCAGCCACCAGTCCCTACCCCCGTAAAGACCACACAGCCTGTCGACTATCAGCTGAGGTTTAGCCACCAGTGCTGGCATCTTAACAACGCCAGCTCTGCGCAACCTTCGATTCGCTCGGCCCCGTCCGGTTTTCTGGAACCTAGCTTTACGACGGCCATGTTTAAGAACAGCCATTTCAACAAGGCGCATTACAACAACCCTCATTTCCACCCTGAAGAATGGACACCAGACGATGACGGACATCATGAGAGGGTTCCAAGCGCCAAAAAGAAGAGCAAAGTCAGGTCGGACTATTAGAAAATGATGACCATGGGATAACAGCACCATTGGACAATGTCATGACAGTGATCCGGTGATGAAACACACTTCTTGCCATGGGCACTCTTGACGGGAAGCATGCTGCAAATAATGGATTGAGTCGTGCGGCAGTGTCAAAGTCTGGGAAACAACTGTTGGCATTCCATGGGAGTTCGTCACCTTCTTTTCCTTTCAGGAGATGCTTGCGGCAATGGGGCTGGTTTGGTGGGTTTGCATTGTTAAGGGAAGGGAACCAAAACTGATTCAATTTGGCTCGTGGTTATCTACCTAACGTTATCTCTTTTGCGCCGAGGGAAGGGAATCACCATGACTTATGACGGTGAGGGGTTTATCTTTTACGGCTTTCTTGGCGGGAGCACCTGCCCCTTGGGGATGTCACTCAACATAGCATCGGCGTTTTAACCCTGTTTGTACCAGTAATGCATTGCTTATGATGCCTCTGTTGGGGCTTCCCCTCCTGACTCCCACCGCACTCACACGGGCGCTTGGACGAGAGGGTATGCCGGCGGCGCTCATTCATCTCCATGAACTCGGGGTCTCAGTCTCTGCGGCCGAGACCAAAGGCATTTTGCCCATCTCCATGTGCACGCGCCTTGGTCAGATCATATTGTGGCATGATGTGGTGGTGACCTGATCCTTTCGTGGGATGGGATTGGGGGCAGCTCCCAGGAAGAAGTATCGCCAAAACGATGGCGTGCCCCGCCTCGGTGGCATGTAACCAAGAGTCCCGTCTCTGTCGTCGACCAAGAACCCGCAAGGACAGCAGGATCGAGATGTACGGGTTTGGGGGGGTTGGTTGTCCGCCCCTGGGCTAGCTTGGGGTTGTGTAGGCCCTGGAATGCCCTATCCTGAGCCTGGCCTCCTCGCCGCGTCCTGGTTCCGTGGGTTGGCCATCCTAAGCCAACCATTGCACTCCTACGTACACTATATACATTCTTTCGTGTTTCGGAATCGGAGAGGGCCTCGGCACACTTTACTAAATAGCGAGGGTATCAATATGCTTGCGATACATTTACAGTAGCCCAGCCACCCACAACGGGTGGGCGAGTGTCACACACTGCCTTCCCCTGGAAATAACGGTCAAACGTCCAAAGAAAGGGTGGAGGGCAGGGTAGGATTCTTGCAATTCGCAGATCGGTAGCCCAAAGCTCCACCCGACAGAAATTTGTCCAATACCCATGGTGGGAAACGGGGTAACTGGAAGGGGTCCGGAGACACACGCAGCGCAGCGTATTCCGTCATGCTTGTCAGACATTAACGGCTGTAAGGCTCACATCATTCAGGCGACGGCCCGTACCGCAAGGATAGAGCGTGTACCTGGGTCCGGCGCCCCTTGATCGGCAGATCACCCAAGCCAGTGGTGGACTGTGGCCTGTGCAATGCCGACGCCCAGCCGACGCGCGAGTTCTTCGGCCCACCTTCGCGCGTACCAGCTCTTCCTCGCCCTTCCGTCGCCAGCGACCCCCCATTGCTTCCAGGTTTCCTCGCCGACCTCGGCCCTGACGCTGGTGGCCGTCTTGCCCTCGAGTCCGCATGGCACAAACCTCGCCCAGGGGTTTGACGCCTCGTCGCCGTCGACGACAACGTCCACGTTGAGCGCCGTACCCAATCCCGAGATGTGACGACGTAGGTGGACGCCCATCGCGGCGATCTTGCGCTCTTGACCTCCTGGTCGGTGTCTCGCGGAGTCCGCCCATACGCCAGGATCTTCTTCTGAGAGATAGGTCTGAACGGACGGCCCCTCGGTGAGGATGGTTTGCGTCGTCTCCTCGAGGAGTCTGGCATATGAACGGACAGTTAGGTGAGGGTAGTATATGCTGTGCAGGTCCAGTACGGGCCATAGAACAACCTGGCCCGGTCCGTGGTACGTTGTCAACCCGCCACGGTCCGTCTCGATGACTTCGGGGGTGAACTGCTGCACTCCCAACCCTGTGTCCCCCACAGCAACCTTGCCATTATTAGTTGGGCCTTTCTTGATTTCGACGTTCAAGGGATGCCGGAGTCGACCGAGCTGATCCGGCGTCAAAGACTTCTGCCGCCGGCCGAGAGTGTAGGTCGGCGTCGGTGTGAACGAGATGACGAGCGGGGACGGGGCGCGGTTGGTGGGAGCGGATTTCCAGTCAAGGAAGGCCAGGCGGAGAGAGGCCTGGAAGTCGGCTGCCGAGGTATACGACAGAAATGTACCCAAAGAGGCATGGAGGTGAATGTGTCGTAATGCGCTCGGATCAGCGCCGTCGTCTTTGGGAAAGACGAGATTGGACACAGGCTGCGAAGAGCTCCATCGCGCTTGGTGTTGGGCGTGTCCCGATGGTCGACTCCCTCGACAAACGAGACCTCGAATGGAATACGTGCAGACGCGGTGAAGCGGCCGAGGGGGTCCCATTGGCTATCAGGTATCGACGGGGGCGCGAGTCTGGACGGAAATCTTGCTACGTCTACGGCAATGATGGACAGGCGCGGACAGTGAGTGAGCGACCATGGAGCTTGAACAGAGTCTGGCGGAACGAACCGTCCACGGTCTGCGGATCCTTCGTGTCGGCGGCACCTTATCGATAAGCAACATTCACCCGCTGACAGCGCACGAGCCACGGGGTGCAAACATGTGGTCATCGCATCACTAGCGAAACTTTTCCGCATCAACAACTCCCATCTCTCTGTTGACGAGCCCGATATCCTGCCCCTGGTCCAGCCTCCGCCCAGCTCCGTAATTAGAGGGGGGGGGTAAAGGGCCAGTTTGTTGTGCAAACAACTCGGGACTGGCGTCGGTCACTCCAGAGAAGCCTTTGGGTTACACCGATGCTCTGGGAGAAGGACTCGTTTTCTCTACCACGAGTCTGACGTTGTTTGTGTGTTTAGGGTGAGCATCCTGACGGCCCACAAGCGCTAGCCATCTGTTCATAAACACTATGTCGTGCTTTCTAAGGAGTGGTGATATCACTAGCCCTCACGGTGATTACGCAGAGGCTCCTAGCAGATAGCTTGATGTGTCGTGAACTGGTCATTATGATTTTATGAAACGAGCTACTTATTGTGATGACATCGGTACAGCTCGACACAATGTTTGGGTATGTGTCATTCAGGGCCCCTAGCGCGTTGAGCCGATGCCGGCGCACCGCCAAGTGGGCGGGGCCGGATGTGCCGTGTAGATCTGGCGCCGATGCGCAATCGACGTCGAGACCATTGAAACCACGCAGTGTCTTATTTGTCAGTCGCGTTCTAGATCGACCAAAGTCTGGTTTGCTGTCAACGCTTGGTCACGGGGGGCAGCTGAAGTTAAGGCCGCGAGCGCCTGTCAAACTGGAAGGGAGAAGTCGTAGTACCCGTTACATCCGAGAGGTGACGCAGTCGCACGGGCTAAGCCTCTATGTGTGCGAACTGACGGGCATTAGGACTGGAATGCATGCGCAGAGGAAGGGGGGAGGGGGGTCACTCACTGCACTGCATCTGAGCTGCCTACGGTAGTACACATCATTTCTTGGCCATAGGCCGCGTAAGAGCCAAGAAGCACGAGATTCAGCTGTTGGTGTTGTCGAACGCTACGGAAACGGAGGTGAAGAAGGAGAAGGGACCGTCTCCAAGACACGATACGGGTTTGTCCCCAGTGAGTGGGAGGGGAGAGACCCTGCGTCGGTACAGAGAACAAGGAACAAGACTCGATATAGGGGACCTCCAACCTGTTCCCACCATATAGAGGTTGAGCAAATCTCGGTTCCAGCCATCCGCTTTGGCCACGTCGGGCGGGTGCAAGCTCTATCGGACGGGGATGAAAGTTTGACAAACGTTGGGCCGAAGCGATAGAACAGACGACAGGAGGCGCATTACGGACTGCCATAAACCTTGTCGTCTAGGCTGGAGCCGAGGACGGCCCTGTTATGATGAACCTACCGAGCGGAAGGTGGCCAACCTTGTCGCAACCACCTCAGGAGGGGTTTAGTGCCGTGATAGTTGAGAGCGAGACCAATCGAAAGCGGCTAACGGGTTTGCTGAGTGAGGGGACGGGATCTGAGTCGTGTGAAGCGGTGCTAGACTGGTGGTTGGCCTAGTTTCTGCTGAGAGGGGAGGAGCGGGTTCCGGATGACGTCGTGGCAGGGTAGAGGGCTGGCTGGAGGAAGGTCCCTGCACCCACCGGCAGTCAATCAGTCAAGGGAAAGAGGGTCCGGTCTGTTGTTGCCCAGCCCACTGCAGGACCGTCTCGGTGCTTGTACTGTGTGCGATAGCTATCAGACTGTATATCTTGCCTGGCGTATGGTGACTGAGCACAGTGTTTCTTCAACGTACAGGACGGAAAGTGAGAAAACAAAAAACACTGCTGTGTGGAGTCCGGCAGTGGCTTGGTTGTGTGTCGTCATGGCTTTCCCACGATGCGCTGTCGAAGCAGGCGGGAAACGACCAGCACTATTCCGGCGCCCACGAGCTAAGAATACCTATCCGTCGCCGCCGCCGGTCTAAGACTCGGCGAGTTGGAGCTATCCTCAGTCAGGCCTCCCTCAGTCCAGCCGACGCGGGGGCTTTCTTTCACCCTGCTAGTTTGGTCTCGCACCCTAGCACACGTAAACCTATCTGGTTTGCATCATCTGATTGCTCGCCCGTCATCTACTTCTTTCTTCTCTTCAAGTTTATCCTCACTAACCTCGGTACATCTTCGAGCAGCGTTTGCTGGAAGAACCAGTCAGTCGGTCTGACATATCGCATCATACCGAGAACAAGGACATAACAAGGCCCCGGGTTCTTCAACAGCAGTTGCTCCTACATCTGTCCATCCGCTCCCCCCATTGCACCCTGTACCCATATTACTGCGCAACTATTGCTCGGCCGAGAAACAAGGGTTAGGACAGGACCAAACAGAAACAAACAATATCGGAAACAGAAACCAGAGACATCCCGCGCTACCCTGGCCTGTTATAGCTTCCTTGTCTCACTGAAACACATCTACGATTTCTGGTGAGTCTACCCGTTGATTGTCACCACTGCCTCACACACCTCTTCCTCTTTCACAATACCTTTTGCCCACTGGTGACGAGAATGCATTACTCGTGTCCACGTCGCACATCCTTCACTTCATCGTTCCTCAGCCCAACCCCAATTTCCCGCATTCCTGCGCATCACAACTTCACCCGATCTTGCCTGTGATCCAAACAACTCGTCGCTGAGTACAAACCCCCAGGTTTTCCATCCCACAAAAGTTCCCACCCAGCCACCCCAAGGAATCGCAAACTCACCTTTCGCGAAGCAGAACACCGGTACCGATCCCTCAAACAATCTGTCGCAATGGTTAAACGTGAGTCGTCCATCTTCCACGTTTTCTTCTTCCGCCAGAGAAACATAACCCTGCTCTCCGGACTAACAGCGACATTCCAGACGCCCCCCTGGGTTTCGCTGCCATCGTCTTCCTCTCGGGCTCCATCGTCCTCCTCCTGTTCGTCATCCTCTCCGCCGTCCGAGACTCCTCGCCTTTGAACAAAACCTACTTCCTTGAGGCCGATACTTCGGGTATTACCGGCGCCCGCGAGGGCCTCACGCGATGGGCCTACTTTTACTACTGCAATGACCAGAACACTGAGTGCTGGGGCGCATGGCCTGCCCCGGCTTTCGGTTGGGCCTGGGGCCGCGACGCTGCCAACGTCCCCTCCGGCCTCATCGGCAGCCACGGCGGCGGCACCACCAGTACTCAGTTCTTCTACCTGTGGCGCTTCGGCTGGGTCACATACCTGATCGCCCTTTTCTTCATGGTCATGGCATGGTTCGCTAGCTTCCTCGCCTGCTGCGGTCGCCTCGGCGCCGCCGTCGCCGGCCTGGTCGCCGCCTCGGCTCTCTTCTTCCTGACCATCGCCGCCTCGCTGATGACGTATGTTGCAAACTCCTCAACCCACCAACCCGTCCCGTAACCAGACTTGTCCCAGGCTAACAAGGGCGGAAATCATAGCGCTACCTTTGTCAAGGCCCGCAACGCGTTCCTGTCTGCCGGCCGCGAGGCCCACATCGGCAAATACGCCTTCGGCTTTACCTGGGGTGCCTGGGCCGCTCTCCTCATTGCGACAGTCCTCTTCTGCATTGGTATCCGCGGCGACAAGGGCTACAGCGGCGGCAGCCGCTTCAAGCGCAGCCGTAGCGTTCGCAGCCGCAGGTCCGTCGACGTCAACGCCGGCCGCCGCGTCAAGGAGGATTATGCATAAACGACTCATGATGACGCACCGGCCTGAATCTTTCTTGGAAAAGGAATACTTTCGTTTGTCTTATCTTGCGAAGGGGGAACACTATTTTCCCGTGATTTGAGCGGTGCATGATGTACTTACTCCTGCTTTTCTTTCTTCTCTTTCTGCATTTCTGCTGGCGTTTCTTATATGCGGGGAGGGGAGGGGGCAGGAACCATTTCCACAAGTCTGGAGTTTTGCGTATACACCGGATTTGACATGTGCCGTTCGTTAAGATAGTCTACCCATATCACTAATTTCAATAATTCGTACACACTCTTCTTCTCAGTGAATCCACAATGCCGCAAGCCCCGTAAGCCGGTTACCAAACAGCGTTCTAGCCAGCCATTTGGGTGTGATAATGGTTCCTCATCAACCCATCTTCACTCCTAACTGTTGTCACACCAGGCCATTGTCGATTTACATTCATACGGCTCGACTCCGATATATCTCGCAAGAAATCTCAAGGGGGGTGGAAAACACTTTTCCCTTTATCATGTATGGGCGCCCACATAACTAACACAGAGGCCGGAGCATGTTTTAGCAAGCTCAATTAGCGGGATTTCTTTATTTGTCATCTCAGTTGCTCTGGAGTAATCTTTATTTCTTTCCTTTCCTTCTTTCTTTCTTTCTCCTCGTATCAATCCTGACCATGGTGGTTTGTCGTCGTGTATGCTACCATTCCTCGTAAAACTCCCATCCCATTCAGTACTCCTTTCCGTCATGTTCCCCTGTCGATCGAAATTCAAGAAAACCTGGATCACGGAGAACCGTTTATCCAGCCATTGAGGGGTCGCCATTGCTGACATGTACTTAGACAGCCCCTGAAGGTCATAGGTGTGCCACTCGAATGGAACGAAATGAAGAAACAACCAGAAGAACACCCGCCATAAAGAGCACCCCCTTTGCCAACCCAGGATGTATGCTGGCGATGAAACGTAGAAATACTTGATTGGGGGGATATGTAACAAATAAGAAGAGAAAAATAAGGCGGACAGGGCCGGAAGATGGGCTAACTGAGGCCAGCTCGGTCAGCATGGAGATTTTAGGTTGAATGTCATGAACCACCCCACCAACCGCAAAGCTTTTGGCCTTTTGCACGGCAGGTTTTTTTACTGCAGCTGGCCACCGGCCCCAGCTAGGGGGCTCGGCGAGGGGCTGACACTGTCCAATGGTACGGCATGGAGTGCTGGCCGTGCCGCCGGGGCGACGAGACCGGAGCGCTTACGCTCCAACACAGACTTGACCCACTCTGCTACTTCCTCATCCTCGGTCCCGGACGACAAGGAGAGTTTGCCGACAGTCTCGGCCACGGCTTCGGCCTCATCTCCCTCCTCAGCCTCCTCGGCGATCGTTTCGATCTTGGAGAAAGGCGCCATCCAGGGGTGTTGAAGCAGTGCTGCGTACGTCGGGCGGTCCTTGGGAATCTTGTTGAGACATTTGCGGACGAAGTCGCGCGCCGTGCTAGAGTATCCCTCCTCGGGCAGACCGGGGGGTTCGCCTTCGACAATGGCCTGTGATTCCAAGTCAGTATGGGTTTCTGTAAGCAGGTCGGTAGACTCACACTCAGTTGACTGAAAATCGTCGACGATACCTCAGGTGGGTATGGGTATCGTCCTAATGCACACTCGATAACAGTCAAGCCCAAACTCCAAATATCGCTCTGCACGCTATAAGTGCCATCGGCGCCAGCAGCCATTCCACCTCCTGATATTCTTTCGGGTGCCATGTAGCTCTGGCAACCAATGTTGGTCTTGGCAATACTCGCAACGAGGTTCCCGCTAACGCCGAAATCGCAGATCTTGACTTGGCCCCTGGTATTGGCCAGGATGTTCGTGGGCTTGACGTCTCGGTGAATGATGTTATGCTCATCCTTTAACGACTTGAGGCCCATTACCGTCGAGTAGGTGATCTTTTGTAATACACCTTCCGGGATACCGCCGTCGTACAACTTGTCAATAGATCCGCCGTCCATGTACTCAATGCACATGTATACCGCGCCCTCTTGGAAGAAGGCCCCGTAGAAATCGATAATGTAGGGTGATATGCACTCGTGCAAGATGACGAGCTCCTTCAAAATCGTTGTGAACTTGGCCTCCTCCAGTTCCAAGCGGATCTCCTTCATGGCCATCACTCTCCCTGACGTGCCTTCTGGTGCCGCAGACACTGGTGATGAATCCGGAGACCCGTCGGGTCGCCTAATGGGCGAGGGATCCGAATGCGCTGTGCCTAAGCTTCCAGGCTTGAAGCCACCCAGACCAGGTCCGAACCGAGGTACTCTTGATTTTGTGTGCTTGACTTTATAGACAGTGCCGTAATTTCCCTTCCCCAGCTCGTCCATGACCTCGACTTCGTCCAAAGAGATGGTGAAGGCGGTGCCGTTGGCGAAATTCACTCCAGTTTTGGTAATAGTCGCAGCGCCGTCAAAAGTGATCCAGCCCTTCTCAGAGTCGATGTACTTCTTAAAATCGTCCATCTTGGACCCCGTCGTCCCATTTGGCGCCCCTCCGTTGTTATCGGGACCATGGATATCAGAGAGCTTGGGTGTCGAAGACGTCGTAGGCGTGGAACCACTCATGCCAGACAACCTCATCATGGGCCGCCTGGCGGAGAGCGGGAGTTTCTTCGTTGGAATGACAGGAGCGGAGCAAGGCATGTGGCCAGGGAGCGGTCTAACCATACCATTCGGCAGTTGAAGGTTGGCCGGGAGCCCTCCAGGCATGCCACCGGGGGAGCCTTGACGAGGCACTGGCGATGCTGGGGAGCTCGGCATGTTATTGACGGCAAGTTGTGGCCCTGCGGGTTTCCCCGCGCGATGAGCCTGAAGCGCTCGCGCTCTTGCCATGACTTCGTTCATCGGCCCGCTGCCCATGCTCATCATGGAGGCGGTGGGAGGTGGCCGTGAGGTGGAAGGTGGCCCGCGAGCGTTGTTCAACAAGCCAAGGGGGGTCGAAGAAGGCGTCATGTTTTGCGGATCGGAGACGGTTCGCAATGAGGGTACACGCTTGGGAAAGCCTGAGAGGTTCTCAGAAGGGCCTTCGAGTGGGGTGCTAGCCTCGGACGAATCGGCGGAACCGGGCGACGCGGGGCTGCTGAGGCCATCTCTGTCGACCAAGCCATCAGGCGTAGCAGGGAATGAGTCGGGTGTATTGAGGTCCGTCATTGCGGAAAGCGGCCTGTCCTCGCAGCGTTGATGCAGTTGTCGATGGAGGGAGAGGACGGGGGAAGGAGTCGGGTGTGGTGAAGTGTCTTGGAATGACCCTATAGCGTGGGCGGCATGTGGTGGTTCCGAGGCAACAGTCGGTCAGCGGGGGAAAGTGCAGTACTCGATAGTTATCAAACTATCGTGAAAACCGATTGCACAGAATCGGGGATGTATGTAGCAAAGGTCGATCGCTCAATGGTAAGCGTTGACAAGAGGATCGAAAACTCGGGGTTGTAGCGAGGAGCTTGCCGCGGGGCTAGACACGGCGGTCGGTTTTGGTAGTGTGGCCTAACACTAACCAGTCGGGTCGGGGTTGCGACCGGGGCAGTGGCAAGGGCAAACTCTAAGTCGGGGCGAAAATGGAACTGCGCGCGGGCAAGACCGGCCAGACCGAGATTTTGTTGGGGTTGTGATTTTTGTTTTATCTTTTGCCGTTTCTGGCCCCTCTCTTTCGATCGCCTAAGGGGTGTTTTGTGAGCTTTGAGGATCGTGCGAGAAGACGGAGCAGAGTGAGAGTGGGGAGAGGAGAAGGAAGGAGAGAAAGAAAGCTCGATGTGTGGGAGAGGGTATAGGCGTGTCAAAGAAAGGAGAGGTGAGGACGAGATGAGGTGGAGGAGGACGATGATTCGATGTGAGGTAATAAGGTACCTGGGCAAGGTAGGGATGTAAGGTAGGTAGGTACCTATGTACATAGTAGGTAGAGAGGTATGTCCTCCTGCTGGGCGGTTCTACAACCAGTACCTATCAAGCTCCTTTCTGCTCAAAAAAGGTATGGCGGCGGGGAGGGTGGCAGGAAATAAACGAACAAGGGAAGATAAGATGGATCGAAAATGCCAGCGCAATTTGTGCTAACGTCACAAAACGCAGTCAAGGACAAAAGAAAAGGTACCTTGACCATGTTTGGCCCCCAGCTACCTAAACCGCGGCAGCATCAGGGAAAAAGAGGTACCTGGGAGCAGCCGAGACGACTTGGGGAAGAGTGGGTCGTCTCTTCCCTATTGGTCCATCCGGCCAACCAGGCTTCACAGACGAGTCGGACCACACACCTGGATATGTATCCCGTTGTACCTGGCTTGAGAATTGGAAACTGGTAGGCGACGGGGCGCAAACCAAGGTACGAGTTTCCCTATCCTTCCAATTGTATCCTCCCCTCCAGCGGGGAGCCTTGGTGTGATTACTCTGCCATTTTGATAGGTGGTGCACTTGCATTTGGCTGAGGACGGAAAGTTTGATGACTGCGTTCAATTCCTGCCGCTGCCTTGATGGCAGACAGGGAAAGGGACTTGGATATGAGAGTTCGGGGACGAAGGAAGACAGGATGCGGATGAATAGGATAAAGCTCGCAGAAGGCTGATGCGACAGCAACAGAGTAGAAGCCGGTAAATGGAGATGACCAAGGTAAAAGATTCGGCTCACCTACTGCGTTGTCAGCTTCTATGCGCACAGGGGCGAGGCAGCGAAGATGTGTATGTGTGTGTGTGTGTGTGTGTGTGTGTGTGTGTGTGTGTGTATTGAAGCACTTCAGATGGGACGGGGCGGCGGAGGGGCAGCGAGCTAGCAGGGCATATATATCGAATCAATTTAGCAAGTCCCCTAGGGAGGTCACCGGAAATCAGAGTTGCGCTTTGCAGGAAGGGTCGCAATGACCACAAGCTGCGGGACGTGGATGTATGGATAATTGGAAGAAAAGACACTCGAGCGCCAGTGCTTGTTCGGGGCCGAGATTATTTGGGAAAGTCCAGGGGAAGATCGAGGTCGTGATGTGCATCCATCCATGCATACATCCATACATACCTAGGTAGGGTACATACGCAGTTGTGATCGTTCAATGACAACAGCGGTTTTTTACACGAGAGTACTTCATCGACTTGCCGTGGGCTACTCCTCCTGCCCTTGGTATCGAGAACCATTCTATATCATGCTATTTCGGTCGAGCCTAACCGGCCCTGGTTAAGACGACCCCAGTTGGGCCTGGTCAACTACGTGTATGAGGTCAGCCCTGGTCTCGCCCTAGATCCTGCTTCGAGGTCACAGGCATAGAGGTGAGGATTTGTCGGTGAAATTGGGCTGATGTACCTCCACAGAAAGAAAAGAGAAAAAGAATTGAATTAATTTTTTAGACATTTTTTTTTTTAAAAAAAAAAGGAGCAAATCGGGCCTGGTATCACAACAAGGGCTTGGGTGTGTGTGTCCAGTATGCCCAACTCCCGCGGCGGTTGCACCGCCACTTGCATCACCGCCCAGTTTGGCCCAAGTCTCAACTTCAATGTCCAAGCTCATCCGGCGAGCAGGGGTTTTTCGTCATTCAGATATCAACATTCTGACAACTCGACAACCAAACAGCGGCACGCTACATGACCTCGCTTCCCACCCTGAGCTTTTCCGTCTTTCCTGCATCTGTCTCTGTCCAGTAGCAGACGGGGGCAGGAGTTGCTGCACTGTCGTCCCAAGGGCATGCATCAGGCACGACGGACCCCAAAAAAGCAGGCTTCTTCAATGATCACTCACCAGAGATGATGGCGGGGTAAGGTATGGGAAGGGGGGGCCCCATCAGCAAGATTTTCCGCATGTTGCATCTCGACGCGCATGCGCATGCTCCAGAATGCCGGTTTTCCTTTCGCGCCGAGCTACCCTCCATGCTTCTCAAAATAGCAGACGAACTGGCTGTCCGCGGTTTCCTTACCCAGGGTGATGTGGCGCAGGACTCGGTATGGTCTACATAGCTACAGTGCCAGACTTCTTGGTGTCTTTGGCAATGCCACGGATGGAACAGGGCACACCTCGACGGACACTGCACTGCATATCCAAGGCCCCTGTCTCCTCTCCACAGTCTAGCTATCTGACGCGATGTACATACACAGTATGGCGCCGGAGGATGCTTGCCTCTTGGAGGCAAGGCAAGAAGATTGAAAGAGATGGCGCCAATTGGACAGTCATTCATCTCTTCCTCCCCGGAGAACGAGACAAATTGTGCCCAAAATGTGCCTGCGCCCACTTGGGGCCACACCGTTGGCACTGCACTATCGTCTTCCTAAAACGCAACCAGGCTACAATACACTAGTGTACCTATCGTGCCGAAGTATCCAGTTGCGCATGTGGGTACAGGTAGAATGCCAGAGCGCTTTGGTCGGCGGCCAGTGGATTAAGCCTATTTCAGAATGCATTATGTCAGCGCCAGCAAGAAATCGCCCACAACAACATTCTGACTTAACTAACCAATGAGAAGGCCAGGATTCAGAAAGTTACGTAAAGTTAAAAACTCTTCGATTTGAGCAATTCAAAGTCAAGGCAAAATAGAAACAGCTGCAATTATTTCAAAAATTCATTATATCACGTGACTAATTCAAGGCCCAAGTTAACCCTGCCCATAGTGCCCATAGTACCTATATTACTGTAACGGCTGCGGCGACGGTGGCACCAACGCGGGCATTGTGGGCGTCTGTTGGCGATGGTGGATTTGCGGCAAAAAGGGCGTTTTTCGCATGGGTTACGGACGTAGGCAGTAGTGGCCGTGGCGGTGGCAGTGGCGGTGGTGGCAGTGCCTTCCAAAATAGGCTTAACCCACTGGCCGCCGACCAAATCGCTCTGGCATTCTACCTGTACCCGCGCATGTCGCCTTCATCATTGTACGTGGGAGCAACGCCAACCAGTAATCGGACACTCAGGACATTGAGACGGGCGCCACTAAGCTCCGTCAAGGCAAGCTCTCGTGGAGAAAGCCGGGAAGGCCTCGGGACGCTGGCCCCCGCCTCCTTCTCCAAGACGAACAACCTTGTCGCGGTCCCCGGTGGTCTCGCAAGAACGAGTACTGGGCGAGCTAGAGTGTCGGGTAAGGCGTGATGACGTTGGCTCGTAGCATAGCGAGTTCAAGGGCGGGGCCAAAGAGAGGGAAAGACAGCGTGGAAGAGAAAAAGGGAGAGAAAAGGCGAAAACACAAACCAAACCAACCTTGTGTCTTGACGGACGAGAGCCGCTAATTCTCGTGCGTGGAACCTCCCACAACCGTGCTACAGACGCTAAATGTGAACCCCACTGACGTTATTCCTCCACATCCATCGGTCCTCGGGATGTTCCATCGGTGTGAAAGCGTGACTCTCTGCCCGCCAGCCTTGGGGGACCATGCCACCAACTTTTGCACGCATCAGACGACATTCAAGAAGAGGCACGCCGATGTTGGCTTTGCATCATCGCTTATGCGCCAGAGATTTGAAAGCCGGCGCCGGTGAAGAAGCACGACGGTCAGTTGATTGCTGCTGCTTGACGCGTATATCCATGTTCCGTCACAGCTCTTATCTTATCGGCGTGCATATCACCCCCCCCCGGACGTTCACTTCCGTCTGACATCATGCCCCATGGGATGGCCTTTTGGTCAAACCCAATCACGGATCTAACGGCAGAGATCGTTGGAGTCGTCACCACATTGTCGCGCTTCGTTCTTTCCTGTGGTGGTCAGTCGTGCAGTTGCGCCATTCTCGTTGTCGCGGGGTCTTTAGGCCATCAGCATACTCCGATAGGGCGAGGACGAGTCGGAGAACTGTCGCAATCGACATTTTACGAGTTCGCCATGGCACGCGCTCATCAAAGCAACAATCCCACTCCCGATCTGCCTAGATAGGCACCTACGTAGTTTAGTTTCGTATTCGCTCGGCTCCTTTACCCGCAATCCCTCGCCTCACGACCCCATGATATGCGCTATCTATATGCAAGCAGAAAGTCAGACAGGCCCCCCCCCCAAAAATGAAAAAATAAGGGTCGTTTGTGCTCGACCCAGTTGTTTGGTCCTCATGTCCTCTATTATCTACCTATCAACACGTGTACTGTACTGTGTGCTGTCAGCACACTGCAACACTAGTACCTACTGTCACACGAAATACTGCGCTGCTAGGGGAGAATCTTGTTACTGCGTGTAAAAGTCAATGGAAGCCATGCTAGTTTACTCAGAACCCGCATCGCATAACCCATATGTCTTTTCCCTTTTCTTTCTTGATTTCCTGCCATGCGCGTTATCAAAAGATGGGTTTCGTGGACTACGCAATATCTCGATCGCTCGGCCTCTGGCGTCATCAGCCACAGAGTTGCATGTACTCCTTAACCTGCCGTGCCACAGATCGTCACTGACCCACTGATTTTTGTCTCCCTCCATTCCCCACATCTGTCATCTTGTTTCATCATCAAGAGTCCAGTGAACCCCCCCAACGTATGCCGATCCCGTTTGGCAAAGCTTACAACATTCTGATCGCGACGGCCACAATTGCATGGTTCGAACGCATGATGGATGTGGGTCGATATCACTGATCAAGGGCCTCGCATTTGGCTCATGTTCCTATGCGTCAGTCATCCAAGGCTAAGGAGGTACGCCACGACCAGTGGTGATGGGCCGACTGGGCGTATGTAACCACGGTTTTCTTGTAATGGATTTTCCGGCGCTATTACGTCATCGTCATGTGCAAGCACGTGATGCGGCATTCGTGAAGCTAGAGGACTATGTGACAGCACGCGATAGTATGAGTTGTCGATAAAGGCGGCTCGCTCCGCCCTCGTAGATATTGCTCTTTCATTTAGTTCTGGGTGGTGGCGCTTGGATCAACGAACGCGACCCGAGGTTTCTCAGTAGTTTCCTCTCCCGTTAGGCCATACTTTACCCAATATGTCCTGGATGGGCAGCGAACGAAACGGCTGGCTATCAGTATCTCACTTTATCAGGGACGCACCAGTAAGGGCCAGATAGAGACACACGATATTTAAGAATGTGTGCCGATAGGATATCTCTCTCGACTAGGTATCTTGAGTCTCTCGGGACTGGCTGCATTCGTGGTATGGGGGAACGCTGTACGGGGGTTCTCAATTTCCAGTACTTCCAATTCCAATGCCTGCTTGTTTGTTCATCAGTCTACCCATCTATGAGGCAGATGAGGCCCAGGGAGTTTTATCAATTGGCGAGATTTTTCAGGCTCGAAGCTCGGTTTGGTCCGTCTGGTCGCCGTCAACCTTTTATAATGTTTCAATAGCGCCGTCCGGCTCCGATCCCGCTTCTCATCTTGCCGGTAGTGTCAAGCAACTGAACGAGCCAAGGCCGATTTCTTGACACTGACCCAGTCGCCATCGATAAGCTTGTCAATGGGTTGCAGGTCCTCGTAAGCTGGAAGCCAGCAATCATCATAGTCGTCGTCGTCGACCGTATCGAGGGGGGTCGCATGCTGGGGACGGGGGCGAATGACGCGACGCGGCCTCTTGTGCTGAGCGGTGGCGGTCGCCGCGTTCGTACCGGTGCTAGAAGACTCGCTAGCCGTCGCAGTCAGGTTGGTGGTATTCCGGATGGTGGCCTTGGCGGAGTCGGTGTTCTCTACCTTCTTCGCGAAGGGATTCTTCTGCTTCAGACTAAGCTCCATCTTGGATACCAGTGAAGTTGGTGGTGAGTTTGCATAGCAGTTGCTGGTTAAGCCGGGCATGGCACGGCAGTTTCGCTTCTCGTGGGTTGTTTGTTTCTCAGAGCTCGCCTTCTATAAGTTGGGAAGGAAGGCTTAATTTTGTGGCGAGAAAGAGGAGTTCATCATTGTGATCCTCATAGCCACGCTCCCGCATCCATGCTCTTTGATGCCATGAATGGCATCGTGGCGGTGACTGACGAGGCGGGCATAGAGATTGGCTGACCCAGAGGACAATGGCAGCTGCTCATCGAACAGTGAAGCTATCACAGCCTGCGGAGATCCGCCGTGGGCTGGCGAAGACAATGCTCACTGGGCAGATCATCAGAAATGAACAACAAGCGCGCTTTGCATTTGAAGTTTCCCCCTGAGCTCGCCAACAAAAGAATGGCAACATGTTACAATATATCAGCCAAAGACAAGGAAGATCCCGAACAAACAATACCTATTTGTCCCATTGAGCGATTGAGCGTTTGAGCGAACTGATAAAGCGGAGACCCCCGACTTTCTCAAATAACAATTCGGCATCAATAACCGGCTAGGCATAGTGATCTACTCTGATGCCAATGGCATGTGTTTGTGACAGCATGGAAAACGTGACAGCATAGAAAACGTGGCAGCATCCGCCAAGAAAGGGAAGACGTGGAAAACGTCTTCTCTGAAACGATGATGTGCTCAAAAGCGTGAAGAAAGCTGCAATGAGGCATGAAACTGGCCAATAGGCCAACCGTGGGACCCATGGATGAGAAGGAACGTGCTTCTTGGAGATCTGATAACGAGTCATCGGAAGTGAGGCGGCTAAGCCTCCTCCGCATAGTCTCGCGTAATGCTGCTCGTGTTGGAATTGGACTTGGCGTGATGGAAGACCAAGCTTCCGGCACGAGCTGGCAATCCCGTCCTGCATCTGATACGGTTCTGGGATGGACACCGACCTGTGGTCGAGATGAGGGCAGCTGCAGTCGAAGCGCAGAAGGCATATACCTTGACGGGATGCCTGTGTATGTGTGTTCAGAAAGATTCCAGTCAGATTCACGGTGCCAGCCCAAGCACGAAGTGGCCTGTGAGCAGCGGGGCAAGTGGACTGTCACAGCCTCAACTTGGATGCACATTTCAGCTTGGCAAAAGAGCCAGGCGAATGCAGCCGAAGGCTGGTCCCCTGAGTTCGCTGCGGACCGCGGATGAAGAAGCTTAAGCTACCAGCAAGACCCCTGTGTCTCGAAAGCAGGACTGAAGGGGGAGGGGTAGGCGGCGCTGCCGGAGCTTAATCAAGAATGCGCACAGTGCCACGATCAGAACTTGGGAAGAACAACTGCACGTGGGGGGCTGTTGAGCAGCAGCAGGGAAAGGTATCTAGATAAGCTTTCGTCATGATGGCTGGGTAACAAGTGTGTCTGATTTCTGGATTGGACAGCGGACATGGAGATGAACAAGCAGGACGGGCGTAGGTTGAAACCAAGAACTGGGTTCCGACGGACGGTGGTTGGCCGGCTACTGTGTTACCTGTGAATGTTATTGGGATGTTTGTGCCCGAGATGCTGCAGCCCGACCAACTGACGTACGGCGACGCGTGGATGGGAGTGGGTTAGGTACCTGCGTGCGCATTTGCCCCTCGGAGAAGATACGGCATCCAATATTAGCGTTTGCACCATAGTTCCACGTCTGATACTAGACTAAGTAGTATCAGACCATCAATGTTGTTGCGATATTGCGATGGTTATTGGCCGTGTGCACGGTGTGCGTGGCAGCGATATCAGACAACGGATGGAACAAGAAAGATGGAGGCGGCGGCGGCGGAAACACGGGGGACGACGGGAAGCTGAGGAAGGTTGCGGGCAGGTTGCAGGCAGAAAGGTTAAGCGGGAGGGAAACGGTGCAAAGGACAAGGGGGCCGGCGAGTTTTGGTTGTTGAGCTGGGGACAGACAGGCTGGCCGTTCGTTCCGTCATGGGCATCGACGTCAGAGTAATTTCATATGGGGTTCCCCCCTCCCTCTCGCTCTTTCTTTCTGTTCAATATCGGGTGGTCGCCAAGGCCATTGCCACATACTCACTGGCTGCGCCGGTCCTGCCAAGAGCTAGTCATTCGGCCAGCGTTGCGCCTGCTCCATCAGTAGCGCATTTGTTGGGCAGTCAGGATGGCGGTGCAGCCAGCGATGGCATGGTTTCCTAAGAAGAATGATTGGTTAGTTCTGATGCAGTCAAGAAACAAACATTTTACTGGGCAGAAAGTCAAGTTACATTGTCGATGGGGAAATGGCTGTTCGAACTCACGTAGGAAGTGAAAATAGAATGGGAGGAAACTTTGAGGCCGGTCCAGGGTCGTAAAGGGTGATTCACGTACAGTACTCCGTACATTTGGCACCCCACTGTAGTAGCATCGAGGGCGGAAACGGAGCAAGAACAGCCGGGTGTGATTTGTATGCAGAGTTTTGCCGGTTGGAGGGGGGCAGAACCCCTACCGGAGGCTCTCGGTATCAGTTGCTGAGACGAATGGCTAGGCGTCATCGTGCGCCAGTGCGCGTCTCTGATTGGACACGATCAAGTGGATTCCCGATGGCACGTATCCGTCGGGCTGGCAAAGTCACTGAGTGAGCCAGGGATATGTGAGGTGTTCAACCAGACGGAGGTGTCAAGACGCTGAAGCGTCAGGGTGGTGGGCTGCTTCGCTGCTGATACGGTTTCCTTCTCCGCGGAGGCTGGCCCAGTCTCGTCTCGAAATCGACACTGGAAACGGGAGCCAAGCTCCCCCTGCCCTGATGCTCCCCACTGACTCCAGTTGAGGTGAGGCAAGACAAGACGGCGGTGGAACCGCTGCTATATCCGTCCATGTACTTCGTACTTGACCTGATCTCATTCTGGATACGTACACTGGTGGACTGCGCTACCTACCTACCTACCTACCTGCTTAGGTAGGTAAGTACCTAGGTACCCACGCAGGTACCTAGGTAGATACCGATGATGGAACATCCCCCCAGCCTTCGTGAGCTGTCGCCGAACTGGCACACTGTGAACCACCGTCATCCCTGGAGCGTTAGCCCAGTACGCTCCATCGCCGTTTTGTGCCATGATTGCCTTTTTTACCCTTTTAAACTCTGGGCACTCGGCATTTTTCTTGCCTCGCGCTTTATCAATCAACACCCTTCGCATCATCGCGCCTTCCGTGGCTGGCCTACTTTTTACCCAGTCTCTTTTCTGTCATCTTTGGTCTACTTTACCCCATCATCCCCTTCTCTCTCTCCCATCTTTCTCCGTCTGTTTCTGTCCCACCTGCTGTCTTCCCAACACCTCGCCCGAACAGCATCAAATACTCCCCCGCCCCTCCCATATGTCTCTCTCTGCCAGATAATGAGAACTTTGTCACACACTTCTGGAAAAGGTCGAACTCTACTTTGGAGGCCCCGTTTTTATCGCCGATAATTCAAACATTACCGCGTCCTTGCGGCGACAACATATGCCAACATTGCCAACATATTTTCGCAATCGTCCTATCGCGACCCTTCCGAAACCACAAACCTGCATAGTCTTGCCTCCTTGGGCTTCCCTTGGTGTCAACGCACTGCGCCAAGCCCCTCCCGGCAACCTTCCGTCTGCTTGGGCCGCCTTGGAACTCCGTCCTTAGCCCCAGCTACATCTATTACCGCTATTCGCCCAGCCTTCGCTCAACGTACTCCCCTCGTTGCGCAACCACTTGAACTACGCTTAGAAGAGGAGTTGCCTTCCACACAATGAACCAGCAGTATCTGACACCTCCGACGTCCTATCGTCTAGCCGACGTGGCTCAAGGCGCCTATGATATGCCCCTTATGGCTATGCAGCAGCAGCCGCACGAATCCCACCCGTCCATGGGCAATCTCGTCCTCCTCGTCTTCGAGGCTGTCCTTGAGGTCGTTTGTGTCAGCTTGCCCGGCTACATCGTTGCCCGCATGGGCCATTTCGACGCCGACAAGCAGAAGTTCTTGGCCAACCTCAATGTCATGCTCTTTACGCCATGCCTTAGTACGTGCCTATTGGCTCCCGCAGGCAATGAACTTGCTAACGAACCCTTCCCTTAGTCTTCACCAAGCTAGCTTCCCAGCTCAACGCCGACAAGCTCCTCGACCTTGCCGTCATCCCCGTCATCTTCGTTATCCAGACCTTCGTTTCATGGCTCGTCTCCGTTGGCGTCTCGCGTCTCTTTGGCTTCAACCGCCGCGCCTCCAACTTTGTCACGGCTATGGGAGTCTTTGGAAACTCGAACTCGCTACCCATATCTTTGATCCTTTCCCTCTCACAGACCATCAAGGGCCTGCACTGGGACAAGATCCCCGGAGACAACGATGACGAAGTCGGTGCTCGTGGTATCCTTTATCTCCTCATCTTCCAGCAGCTCGGCCAGTTGGTTCGCTGGAGCTGGGGCTATCACGTGCTGCTCGCACCCAAGGACAAGTACTCCGAGTATCAAGATGAGCGCGTGGAGGAGGGACAATACTACGTTGGAGACCGGGAGTCGGCACCACTCTTGAATGAGTACGATGACGGCAACGTTGCCTCTAGCAGATCATCCAGTGATGACCTGTCGAACTACGAGCCCGCCGGCCGTACTCCTGTCGCTAGCAGATCCAGGGCTTCGCCCGCCGATACCGAAGACGAAGACGACGACTATCCCAAGAAGAGGAAGGCCAACGGACTCGCTCCCCTCAACGGCAATCACCCCGTTTTCGATGGAAGTGGCGATGAGATATCGTCTTTCCCCCGCATTCGTAACACGGATGAGCCTGAGGCCGCCGAGGGTGCCAAGGGCTATCCTGCTCGCATCAATAACGCCATCGCGTATGCCAAGCGCTCCACGTCCAACTTCTTCGAGAGGCAGTACGGACGCCTCCCGCCTGCTGTCAAGGCTGTTCTCTCAGCACTGGGCCGCTTCGCTGGCAAGTTTTACAACTTCCTCTGGGAGTTCATGAACCCTCCCCTGTGGGCTATGCTTATCGCCGTGGTTGTTGCTTCCGTTCCGGCTCTGCAAAAGGTCTTCTTTGAGGAGGACTCCTTCGTCAAGAACAGTTTCACCGATGCTGTTCAATCTAGCGCTGGAGTTGCCGTCCCCCTGATTTTGGTGGTCCTCGGTGCCAACCTCGCCCGCAACACCCAGAAGAGTGAGAAGCAGCGCGACCCCGAGGAAGACCAAATCGGAACAAAACTCCTCGTGGCCTCGCTCGTGTGCCGTATGCTTCTCCCGACTCTCATCATGACTCCCGTGCTGGCCATCTTTGCCAAGTATGTGCCAGTCAGCATCTTGGACGACCCCATTTTCGTCATTGTCTGCTTCTTGTTGACCGGTGCCCCGAGCGCCCTTCAATTGGCACAAATCTGCCAGATTAACGAGGTCTACGAGGGCGTCATGTCGAGGATTCTGTTCCAGAGCTACGTCATCTGGTCAGTGGTCCACTTTTACATTCGCTTCTTGATACTTTCTCTAACGTGTCTCTTGCTTTAGGATCCTTCCGTCAACACTGATCCTTGTCATGTGTGCTTTGGAAGTAGTTGAGTGGGCTGCTTGAGCGGCCAAACCGTTTCTTTCGTTGCGCAAGACCTGTAGTCAGGAGCGGATCAAAGATACCGCTGCTTTTCCAGGGGTATATCATGGCGTTCAGGTATCCTTTAGGCACATGGCGTGGCTAGGGGTAAAAGTAAAATATAAATTGGCCCTTCACCATGCATCATCATAACACCAGCGGACTGGAAGTATCCGTTTTCAAGCATGAAGGACAGAACTCGCCACGGGCAATGCAACCATTGGGCGTTTTTGGCATTTGGCAGTTGCTGGCGATTATATATCTGTACTAATAAGAACCTGGACAAGGATTCCAGAAGCGAAAACCAAAATCAAACATATTTAATAGCGATTTGACTGGCAACAAAGTCATGTTGGCCACTTTCCTTTGTGCAACTCGTAGCTTAAAGCTCGTCAATTTGAGCGAGGCTCAAGCCGAGCATCGTCTGGCTGTCTTTATCCCGGTCCGATTCAGTTCTAGTCTCGCAATGACCATGTCTGGGCTTTGCTCGGCGACTAGCATATACCAGATGGGCATTCGCGGTGGTGATTCTTGAGGAAAAGCTTCCTTTGGCGATGGCGAGGGAAGCTGGAATGATCGGAGTTCGAGATAGCCACCTGAACGGAATCCTCACTCTACTATGTATAACGAACAGGTGTAATCGCCAGGATACGCTAGTTTCGTCGAACGCTGCATGAACAAGCCTCAGAACGGGTTTGGGTACATAATGGGGACCTCAGGTCGCCTCTACTTGGCTTCCCTGCTAACATTGCACAATCAACATTTTCGATTGCCAACGTCATCATCCACAATAGTGCCGCCGTATTCTTTGACGCAATGTTGTTGCGTGTAGCTATCTAGGTGGGTAATAGGTACAGGTAGCCTTTAATATACTGCCCAGGTACAGTGCCTTTGCAAACCACTTTCAACCTAATTTGGAATGTGGAGACGAACGGCATCGTTCTGTATTCACCATGTACAAAGAGAGGCCTTTGACCGAGCCAGTTCGGTGAGGAGCTCCATACTCACGTGACCCACGTCAATTATGTATGGCCTTGGCAGGAAAGAGGGTCGTGCTTTGCGACCAACTCCTGTCGCTTCCCTGTAAATAACTATTGTATAACCATCTTCAGTGCCCAGGCCAATTCGAAAACCTGAACCTCGACGAAACATCATCACATACGAAAATGGCTTCCAGATCGAGGTCACCTTCGCGCGGCCGCTATCGCTCCCGCACTAGGTCTCTGACGCCGCTGTCCGATCGGTCGCGCTCACCAGCTCGCCGTCGCTCATACGATTCACGCTCATCGCGTTCCAGATCGCCCACCCCACGACGAAATGGCAGACACAAAAGCGAGAGTCGCAGCCACAGCCGAGGGCGTACCGCCAGTCCCGCCGTCAGAAGCACCAAGGCAAGAATCCTTTGGATTTGAATTCCACAACCTCTGTATCGAAGTAGCTGACAACGAATTCTGTATTAGATAGTTGTTGAGCGCCTGACCAAAAATATTAACGAAGACCACTTGGAGGAAATTTTCGGTCAATATGGACGTATCAAGGACCTCGACCTCCCCATCAACAGGACTCGTAAGTCGCGCTGAATTGTTCATCTAAGGTCCCCTCTTGCCCAATCAATCCTCCATACCTGGCTGACGCTCCTTCTCTAGATGGCACTAACCGTGGTACTGCCTACATCCTCTACGAAACCGAAGGCGATGCTGAGGAAGCCATTGCTCATATGCATGAGGCGCAGCTTGATGGCGCCGTGATCAACGTTTCGATTGTCCTCCCTCGACGCAAGATTTCCCCGGCACCTCCCCTGGCCCGTCGGGGCGGAGGTTTCGATCCCCGAGGCCCCCCTCTCGGAGGTCGTGGTGGTAGAGCCATGGGCGGACCCCACGGCGGTGGTGGAGGACCTGGTTTCTTTGGTCAAAATGGACCCCGACGAGGCGTATCGCCGCCGCCAGCTCGGTTTGGCCCCCGATCAGACACCTACAGACCTCGTTCCGTGTCACGTTCCCCGACACGGTCCCCTGGGGCTGCTCCGCCGTCTAGAGGTGGCGGCAGCAGATATAGAAGCCGCTCCAGGTCCTACTCCAGATCTCCTTCGCCGCCTCCGAGACGTGGAGGTGGAGGCCGAGGTAACGACCGCAATCGCCGGAGACGGAGCCCAAGCCAGGACAGCTACGACAGCTATGATGGCCGTCGATCTCGGTCTCCCAGCCGAAGCCGCGACCATGGTGGTCGCAGAGGCGGTCGTGGGTACCGATGAACAAAGTGTTTGAGCGTGGGTTGCCAAGATGGTGTTTGATATTTCAAGGCGTTTGGGAGGAATGAGGAAAAGTCTGCCGGGATACCCGCCATGCGAATGGCCGCGGGCCTGGGCATCTCAGTTGATCCGTAAGATCTGATCATGCCTGTACGCATTCTCAGCTAATAACGCAAAGACGGATGATTAGATTACCCGCTTCTTGACATATGGCCTCTCTCCGCCCCTCGATATGTCGGCGAATCTGCGTAGTCAGACCTGCCCCACTCTCCAGGCTCCATCTTGTATTCCCCAGCCTCTGTCGCTCATGGGGTGTTCAATGATCAAATATGCCTCAATCGTGTCAAATGACCGGCAATTTGCATACTGCTGCGTATCGGATTGCGCTGCCACTGGATTCGTGACAAACCGGAACACGATGACTCTGTTGATCGAGTCCTCCCGAGCCACCCCATTGGACTCCGTTGTGACGAATAGGGGAGATGGCTTGCCTCGCAGATCGGACAGTCATGTTCCAGTCCCTAGTTTTGCTACAACCCTTTGGCGTGTGGAATTGAACCAGATGAGTATGATATCTTTGTGGACTCTTTCGGCTGTTCCAGCGAAAAGTCAAAGCTGTTCCTGTTTCTCCAACCAGGTTTTCAGCCGATTGCCGAAGTTCAAGCCATTCCGGTACATCCATTTACTATATTGCTTCGGCGACAGCGATGGACTGAAATGAAGGGCAGTCAGATGGGTGACACAACGGGTGAGCTTACGCCACATTCGTTGCCTATCCAGCCGCGACTAACTTTACCCCCTTCTCAGTTCGACAAGTCAACTGGCCAGGTGCGTAGATTGTATTTGCGGCAAATCTCAATCGGGCTTTTTGCAGCTCTCCACGGTTTAGTAAGCTTCCAGGTTTGGCAATTGTCAACCTCTTGCCAAACTAATCGAAGCCGAGCACGAGGCAGCCGGGTGGCTATTTTGTCTTCCCTCTGACAAAGCCGTGTCACTGCTTACGTATGTAAGGAGGGACCGACAGCACTGCCTCCATTACCATTGTATTCGATATCACCCACGATATCATGGATATGCACAGTACATAGGTAGAGGGGTGCCACAACTGCATGAAGACTGACAGAGTCTTCTCATCTTCTCGGTTACACAAAGTCTCCAAGGGCTTGGGCTGGGCCGCGCTGACAGGTCATCTAAACGCGGAACATGATTTGACAACCAGCATGGCCTTGAAATGTACCCATCATCATGGGTACCTACCCAACCAATCATGCTGATCAAGCTGACCCGAATGCTGGGATGGAGGGGCAACGGGGCTCTCGGGGCTCAGCCAGATGCCGCACAGCCAAACGGCCGGTGCTCCCAGCAAAAGGGAAGCAGCACCAGCACCAGAGCCGGCACCCGGGGATAAGACGACAGCGTCTCGGCTGTTGGTTGATCCTCTGCCTCGGTTCCCATTGTTGCAATGGGATATTGACGAAAGGGTTGCATGAATGTGTACTAAGTATGCAGCAGGGGTTTTAAAGCCGGAGCGGCCGACAATGAGCTCGATTTGACTCCGCGTTCCTCACTTTCTGGAGATGCGAAGCGCTCGTCCCAACGAAAGAAACTTGCTTTTGTTATCTTACAGCATGTCTTTTCTTCATGAACCTGCAGCTGGATGACGCACCGCTGGCTATGATCATAGCCTCTGTTTTCACCTCTCCACCCCAGTCACGTTCCCCCACACTGCCCTCTCGGGAGAGCTGAGTTGAACTAACCAGACCAAACGAGGCCAGACGAACGCATCTCGCCTTGGTCAGCTGTTTTGTAATACTAGGTCACGGTGCGCACTCGAGCTGATCAAGACTGGAACGACATGAATACAAATGCTTTTTGGCCAGATTTCTGCAAATTCATGGAACGTCGTCCACCGCTGGATAAAGTCTCGCAATCCTTCAGCCCTATGGACTTAAACCCTCGTTCTGCCCCAACCTGCCTGCTGGGTATAGGGCGTGGGATGTGGGACGTGGATGTGGTCAAATCCTCCCCTTCGGCTTTGCGCTAACCCGCAAATCGCACCCACTGTTTCCTTTGCATCTACTAATTGCTGACATCCCGGAGCGTTTTGGAATTCGCGTCCTCCTCCTGACATTCGTCACACCCCGGACGTCAGCGTGGCCGTGGCTCATCTTGGCAGCCCTCCTTCTCGGGGAGGACTTCTCTCGCTCGACATTGGACAAAAAGCCTCGTGCCACACCATCCCATTCCCAGCCATTCCCCGTCCGTTGTCTCCCCGTCCCCGAGTCTCCTAGTCGGGGACCCTCTCCCAACCTCATATTACTTTGGCATGGCGTCTGTCCGTATTTCTCTCAAATTACGTGTTCCCATCGATCCTTCGGTCGGCCCCGATATTCTCGCGATCCGAACCCAAACATCGACAGGCATGGTCGTTCACATGACGGCCCATTTTGGCTAGACTCTTACTACCCTCATTTGGTACGCGGGTAATAGTCAAGGCAGTAAATCTGATAGCATGGACACCGCCAGAATGCTTACGTTTTGTGGAGCAAGCGCATTTCAACCTCTTGAAGGACAGGCCCGGGCACTCGGCTCGACTCGTTACACCACAGGGGCTTTCAACGAGGCATAATTACCCCCCCACGTCGGCGTCTATTCAAATTCCGCGCCCCTTCCGTGACTTGCGTATGCCCTCACACCGATAGTACCTATCTTGGAGTAGTATGTCCTTCCCTTTACTACCATGCTTGCCTCCTTCTGAGTCGCCAGGGGTACGCCTCCTATCCGGGCTTTTGGGAGATTCATGGCCATCTGATTGGCTGTTCCCGGTTTCTGGGAGCCTAGCTGTCGGGCAGTATGTACCTTGACGTACCTTACCTGACGTAGTTTAGTTGGAGTGAGCAGTGTGGGTGTCCCATTCCGCAGAGCGCCCCGGTCTTGCGCGATACTTGGCACAGGCGTCTGGGTTGTCATGTCGTAAGGCGGTATTCTTCGCGCTGAGCGCCATGCCAATTGCCGTTTGAGGTCTTTGGCCGGACAAAGTGACTCGAGCTCCGTGGCGTTTTGGCAATTCTCTTGGGTTCCAGGTGAGATGATGTAGCCTATCCGGAGGTGACTGTCTATTCTATGCGTGTGGGAGTGTCTGTATGCATGCGTGAGCAGATTTGTAGGTGTGTGTGCACGTATATGACCGCAGGTAGAGCCTCACGGAGGATCTGTGACGGTAGTATATAGGAGTGCTGCTGTCGTCCTTCTGAGAACCATCACCAGTCTCCAGTCAGTCCGAGCTGCAACCACCTAGTTAACCATCTTCCAATCTCTTCATCAACCAAAACTGCCACTAATTTCTTTGGCTCCCTTATATTTCGCAAAGCCAACACCAACCAAGACTCGCAACTCAATACACCATCATCCGAGATGTTGTCCGCTACATACGCAACGCTCTTCGACAGGGATTGCGTCCCAACACATATCCCCCTCGACGAGGAACAACACGATCTGAACTCAGAACACCAAGAAACCACTTTTCGAGACGACCTTTTGTGTTCCATTGGCACCTTCTCACGCATCAACCTGCACCCTTCGGCCCCGCCCACACCCCCGCCCCGTCCGCGTCCCGGTCCGCTGGGGCCCCGCCCGGATGTTCCGACGCCGCCGCCAAGCCCGTGAATGGCTTTGGGTTGCCTGGCAGGGTGCTGATAGCGTATACTTTGCGAGTGATACTGACATCGGCGCACCTGGTAGCACTGCCAACGGCGATACTCTATGACGTCGTTCGTTAGATGTTCCGCAGCGATGGTCAAATAGCTCGGTCGAAAGACATAGTTCTTCGATAGAGCAACTGTTGAGGCCCTGACACCCTGTCGGCAAGCTGTTTGAAACACGGTTTTCCCTTGAATCCTGTAGTTGGCATGGGCACAATTGATGCGGAGAACCCTTGTTCAGAAACACAACCTGCGTCTTCATCCTCAGATTCCCTTTCTCAGTACACCTTTCCAGGTACTTAATGGTTTCTTCTCACTCTTCTGTCACTGTTTCCTTCTTTCTTGGTTTGATTCAGGGAAAGGCTCTGACACTACACGACGGGACACACGCGGAACGAGCATAAGCGTCATCGTTACACTAGACTTGCATTTCCTGCGAAGGGAAAAGTAGACTGTTTCTTTGCTTGGGCAGCATTCATGGCAGGGGGTATGCATATCACGGTCTCGGGTTCATTCGTTACTAGCGTAGGAAATGGTGCTAGCTTAGCCAGCTTATGCTTCACAATCTGATATGTTCTCTATTAGAAGCCAATTGATACCCATGTGAGACGGATTGTCAATCGACCTTGGCACAAACGATGGGCCTGGAAGTGAATATTACTCTCGATATATCAAGTCTTTATGTTTGCTCTGGTAGGATAATAGGTCATCGCTTCAGTCTTAGACAAGTGCATTCATAAAGCCTCGTGGTGGGTTTCATCGGGATCATGACAACCATCCCTAGCCAATGGTGAAGCCCACCAACACACAAACCCGGCGCCCACGACGAGATCAAAGGTATACGCTTTATTGAACAAAGAACGCCTATTGCTGATGGAGCTCGTTCTTTATATATGTCCTTCTATCTCCAAGGGAACGATACGCTTTTCAAACCACATCTTCTGATATCGAGATCCCTGGTCTTTGTACTTCGAAAGGAAGCGGAAGTCTCCAAGATCCATGAATGCTTGACCTGGAGAGATTTGAATATGAAGAAACTTGGTATGACGTCTCCTGTTGCGGGTATTCGGAATTCTAACCTGTGTAAGAAGGCACTTCTCCCGGCATCTTTGGGGGGGGGGGGGGGATCATTGAGAGCCTGGAACACGGACGTTCAATTATAGACTGACCCTGCCTCGATATACCCTGGGTATATCTGCCCTCGGGGAAATACTTCAAGTCACAAATTGCAGGCTTGCAAACTGCCTACGACAAGTGGATACAGATCAGTGCGATATTTGTGTGTGTGTGTGAGAGAGAGAGAGAGAGAAGGGAAAAGGGAAGGAGGGTTCGTGCTAACCCAGTAGCATTTGTAAAAAGGTACTACAGGTATATGTAGCGAACGAAATATCACATCGTACTGCAAATATAGTAACTGGATGTTCATCGTTACTGGTGCTCTTATAGACCTGTTTGAAAGAGTATTATTATTAAACTTGATAAGGAAACACAGCCCTCTAAGTAGATATGGCTGCCGTTCACGTTCAGGAAATAATACATTAGGCATAAATACGAAGAATATTTCATCTCAAATAGAATGCAATCACTTATAACAATCTTGAAAATAGAGGACAACCGGAGATGTTGCTGCTCCCCGGACTTGGTGGGTCGGATAGCGGCAAAATCGCCGAGCAGGACGGCTTACTGATTCTCGGGCTTGCTCCGGTCCCGATAGGCAGTTGCTGCATTGTCTGCGAGTGTAGATGTGGAGAAAAGTGTAACGTGCAGGAAGAGGTCAGTCAAAGGCACTGGGTAGTATTGGAGGCGCGAAACAGGTTGCTGCTCGATCTCTGCTGATTGAGTACGCTCCTCTATTCCTCGATGGCTATAGGCGTAGCATCTTCGGGGCCAGTCGAAGTTTCCTACTTTCATCCTGTTAGGAGCCCCTGCAGGAATGCTCTTGGCAGGGCGGAATCGGGGGTCAAGGGGGTCGGTCAGTGTGCCGCTGTGAGGCCATGGTCTCTTAATTTAAGGATTCGCATGATGCAGCCTGCAGTGGCCACTTTTGCCGAGCCTTTCATCCTGTTGGCTACCCGCTTACTTTACTGCAGCTCGTGTTCAGAGTAGACCAAGGAAGGCGACCTTGGCCACAGGCTAGCAAAGGTACATGAGCTGGCAGGAAACTCGTATCTCCTCATGATAAGATGCGAGAGAAAAAAACAGGAAAAGAAAACGTCTGGCCACTGTCCGTTCACGTTATCCGAGTCTTCAGATCATTGGACCATTGAGAAGAGCAGAATAGATCAAACCAAGATAAGCCCGTCGTGAAATCA